TCATCCTTCCATCCAGTTCATCCTATGGAAGAGGGCGACAAACATTTCTAATGCATTTCGATCTCCAAAGCATAACTAAGAATTGGAAGCATTCGAATCGAGTTTTCTCGAAATAGGACTGTCAGTTTTTAGTTGAATTTTGATCTACTGGTACCGGAAAATAATAGGATTTCATCGCCGCGTTATCTTCCATCGGAGAGTACTATTTTCACAGGCTGGAGCGATTAGTATTATTTCCCATCGATACTCTTCCTCGTGTAAAAATGATATTCGAGTTGCTTTTGTGAAATCGTACGTAGGGTAAAACGGCTGAAGAGAAACGGACAAGAATTTCGGGACGTTGTCTCGTCCTGCTCATCTTTCAGGATTTGATTGGAGATTTTCTTCCGAGGTGGAAGTTGCAAATGTAGCACACGTTTTACAAATATCGTCATTGCACTAAAACTGTACCGCAGCGGTCCTTTGTTTCCGGAAAGAGCGATATCGAGTGAGTGATAAGCCATGGTGGTTCGCATGGCGTAGCACTCGATAACGACTCTGGAGAAGGGCCCATTTCTTGGCATTTATCAGTCTGACTCGTGCCGTCATCCCATCGAAACATGACGGAGGCCGCAGAGGAAAGGGATCCGTTTCTGAGTCTTCCCCCCCAACTGGAAGTCATCGTCACGGACGAGATGAAGTCGATGGGGGAGACGCCGAGCTCTGCAGAACTGGCGGAATGCTTGGAACGCATCGCGACCCGCATGTCCTCCCTCGAAACGATCCCGTGTGAGTTCTGCGGGAAGCAACTACCCTTCGAACCCGAGCAGATGCAGCTCCATCAAACCGACTGCGACCCGAAGATATCGTGCGGTGCGGTCCGCGAGGACACCATACCGTGTGGGTTCTGCGGGATCTCGCTTCCGTTTCGAGCCGAGGACGTCTTACTTCACGAGACCGGTTGCAGTCGCCACATTTTCTTCGGTTCCAAAGAGGGAAGCCTGTCGGCAGAGTGTCGACACTGTCGGGCTGCATATCCTCTGGAAGACATTCATGGACACGAGCGAGACTGTCGGGGCGAGCGGCAAGACGAAACCTCCAGGAGCAGAAAGGTGCTGGTCGAAGTGAAGGAAGAGAGCCTGCTCCTCAACGTCTTCCAATGGGTTCACGGTTGGATGTCCCGGAACCAAGGAGTCGTCATCAACGCGATCAAATTCGCTCTCCAGTATATTCCGTGGGGGCAGGTGTTTTCCGCCTTGGGGATGCCCCCGAAAATGCAGAACGATCTCATCGCTGTAATTCCTTCAATCGTCGTTTTCGTCTGCCGAAAAGTCTTGACCAAGAAAAGCTGATTTGTTGCTTTCATTGTTCGAGCTTGGTAAGCTTTTATGAATTTTTTTTTTTCTCCAGCTTAGAACCTGATGATCGCTCAATCGAGACAATATTTCAATCGACGCCGAGTAAATAAGTTCAGAGGTGACAACTATCTATCTGTCAGCTCAGCATTTTGATGAACCCCTTCTCCTCATCTCGATACTGACTGCTTCTGTGACTCCACCCATGACTTATTTTCATCCCATTATTTCTCTTCCCCTTTCTCCCCTCAACAGCCACTCCCAGTCTTTCTGTACGGTGTGTATATTATTGCTGTAGTGATCTTCATGTATCATTTATCAATTGTGAATGAAGGCTCTGAATCTCATCTATTCATCTTGTTATTCCGTTGGGTAACTTTCCGCGAATCTTCCAAGCAATTGCGTTACTTGGATGTGCGCCGACCCTGCAGCGTTATTGCACAGAAATTGCACCGGATCCAATGTTTTCTGTAGGTTCACTGGCCGAAAGGAAAGCGAAATCTTCATCGCGAGAATGGATGAGGGATCGGAGAGGGGTGGCTCCAAGGTTACTAAATACTAGGGCTGTCACGATAGGTCGATGCATCGATACCGCTATCGATAGTTGGAGATATCGATAGTTTTTTCGACCATCGCGATGCATCGGCAAAAAAATGTCCCATTGGATTGAGGCAAGTACAGTTCAATACAGTCCGTCCCGGCGGGGAAAGGAAGGAGCGGCGTGACCTGAATGGGCTTGCGGTTTCTTATCACAATCAAATTCCGGAAACGCTGGGACTGACTATATGAAAGACGGGAAGGGGAAAAAAAAGTCGGATCGGAGACAGGAAGTGGGAAAGGAGAGGGGGGAAGACCGAGAATATTATTGTTTTTTAACGTCAGTTTCTGTCTCCAGCTCGATATCATGAGGTGCATGCTGCGGAAGTGGACTGTTCTTATACTCCCTTCATTTCGAAACGTACATTGGTTAATCCTCTCTCTATATTCCAATCACTTTAGTATGTAGGCTTAACTTTCTTAATTCTTAACTTGCCTTAGGGCGTTTTATACTTGGGGCGTTTTTCTACTTGAGGTGAAATCGAAGTGAATGTGGACGTTGCTTATTCTAGGGTTGTACAGATGTTTCGGCAACCGTCGGTTTGGCACCATCGGCAGGTTTCCTATCAGTCGGCGCCGACGTCCAAAGACAGTGTAGAAGGAATAAAATTAGGGCTGCCCTGATCCATCCATCGATGGATGGATGTCATCTTCGATGGTTGGTTGCATGTGTGATATGGTTGACGGATAACATGGTTGATTTGCGAAGGTCACACCTTCCCCTTGCACCCTGGATCACAAGCGTGAGATTATGGAGGCCGGATAGAGGTCCGAGGTCCGCGCTCCGATCGCGGCGAGGAAAGATGGAATCCTCTGGCGCCCCCCCCCCCCCCCCCCCCCCCCCCCCCCCCCCCCCCCCCCCCCCCCCCNAAGACCCCCCCCCCCCCCCCCCCCCCCCCCCCCTCGCCCGATGCATCGATACACTATCGATAGTTTAGGTCGATGCATCGATGTTTTAAAAACTGCTATCGTGACAGCCCTAGTTTATAGTTCAAGCCAAAAATAGCTGATGGGACGTTAGCCTTAGTACTGAGTCACAAGGGATGATATTCTTGTGCAGGAATACAGAGATAGCAGAAGTGCATACTGTTCCAAAGAAAGCAGGCATTATGGACCTCTGTCCAACATGGCAACTCCCTTTTCCAGGATTCTCCATAGAGAATAATGTAAATACTTGAAGGCCTCAAATTTCCTAATATGATGTCATCCTACGATAAATTTGGTATCTTTCAATTCTTCCCACGGTACACTATGGAATGATATATATACATGACATATACTCAGGCTTGCCTGAATCCCACAAGCATCAAACTGAAGCAAAACCCCAAATATGAATAGGCACAAAATTCTCCCTTCAAATGGATCCTACCTAGGCTGGATGATGCCTTTTTTAAATTCATAGCTGGTCCTGTGATGTGCCAAAAGAAAACATACTGAAAATCAATTTAGCAAGATTGTGCAAAACAGCAGCAACTATGATGTTCTTATCATTCTATTATCCCTTTCCCTGGCATTGGTGTAATATTACATTGGCATTCTTGAAATGTTCAGATATCCCTGACAGGGAAAGGGTTAATATGTTTGCTACCAAGGCTATTTTTATGGTTTCCTATCTTAGACTAGATGTGTGCATGGATTTTTTTTCTTAACATGATGTCAACAGCCAGTCAACATTTGTCCACATATCTGGACAATATGTAAAAGGGAGTGCAGTTTCCTCATATTTTACCTACTGTTGCATAGTGTCCATGTTTGCAAACAATTTTTATTTTACAGCTCCATTCTACAAATCTTTTACTAGGACATCGTGTCCATATTTTCTGACATCTTAACACCCACCACATAGCAATGATCATGTGCATAAACAAATGAAATTTGTGCTAAAAATAAAAAAAACTACCAATAAATTGGAAAAAAAAAAAGAATGGCCTGAAAGGATCCCATATCAGAGTATGATGAGAGTGGAAGATTCATGCATGATGTCTAGGGCCACTGACATGCTTGAGAGCTATAGGTCTTACACTCAGCCTGGACTAGCAGTTTTTATATGTGGCAACCAAGACAGTTGGGTTCTCTAAATGCATTATGTCCATGTATGCAGACAAACTAGTTTGGGAGCTATAGAGGCCAATTGCATGCACATAAGAAAAATATGGTTGCTCCATAGGTAAGTTTTTCTCTTAGAAGTGCATTCCAGAGCTTTCGCAGCAATTCAAAAAATCATTCCATGCATTTTAAATTAAATGATGAGACCTCCCATCTATGGTCACCATAGAAAGGCATATCAAAGAAAACACAGGAGATGTTAGAGTTATTGGGTATATCATCTCTGATTTTATTCTGATTGTTGAGATGTCTGAAATTATGCTTTCTTAGTGAAAGCTTTGTAGACTGGGGGCTATAAAATGAATAGATTTTTTATGTCCACAAACATGGATGCTATCCAACAAGGGGTTCATAGATTAAACAGTTTGTACACAGGAGATTGGCAGTCTACACATCACTACCTATTTTTAGAAAATAGGAGTTAAAATGTGACATCAGCCACGTGCTGGATTTGGACAAGAGAATTTGAAACTAGATATCTAGAGTGTGGATGTCAACAGGTTCAGGTCAATTGGTAAAGTCATGCATTAGGTCATAAACAAGGATTCAACATTTTTTGCAGAGAGCATTATCATCTCAAAATGCCATCTTATCACCATTTGGGGTAAGCAAAAATTATCTGGACACTATGAGATCTCTCCATTTCACCATTATACTCTGGGATGATACAATAGCACAGGTCTTTCAATTGCATGGGTCCAAGCAATTCCTGTCATGTATCAGGACAAGGAAAAATAGATAAAGGCCTGGGGTACAAAATGCCCCAATCCAGATCCCCTTTGAGCAGCTCATGAAGAAATGTGCAATAATTTTTTTTATGATTTAGCAGCTCTACTACAATGGTAGGCTTACCTTAACCTTCATCATGCAACTTGTACTTCCATTTAGGAATACAGGCCTTTATATCCCTTCCATTCTAGATAAATAAAATTAAAACATCTCCATTCTAATACCTCTCTTACCTTGTTCATCAGTATGAGTAAGAATTTGAATATGGTTTTCTTCAGCAAACTCTCGGATCTCTGGAGGCACCACACAACAATTGGCAAGATTTATCTGCAAGGTCCGGGGCTTCACCTAGGAGAAAATATAAAATGGGTATAAGCAGAATTAACAAAGGAAAATGTATTATTTTAAATAAATTTGTATTGTTGTAACTCCAAGGTTGGGAACCTTGAGCATAATCACCTGAAAAAGAGGGAAAAGCTGAGGCGCCCATGTGAATCTCTCACATATTGAAAGCAAAGAATGTGCTCAGTATTATGCCTAATAAATTATCATTACCATTTCCCAGACAAGGTACATTTTCATGAAGCATATTATACATCCAAGGAAGTACATAATGGCTGAAAAAAAAAGAGCCTCTCAAAATGTCTCAAAACAAGGCAATAACCAATGATGATTTAAAGGTCTGCACTTTTCTAAGGGCCTCAATTTTTCTCAGTGAGTCACTGGGTCACATTACCTCAAGCAGTTCTAGGGTTAAAAATACATTAAATGTCAGATTTCACACTTTCTCTCAAAGGTTCAAAAATCCATTAATGCATGAATCAAAATTTAATTCATTCTGTAATGCTCATACTATCTCCTCCATGCGAGCTGACACAATGCACAGGGAAAGATATGCAAAGTACCAAATCTGACTCTAATATTTTCTAGTCCACTTCAGCAAAGCCAACTTGAATGTAAATCACTAAAAATTCAAATGTTATTGGAATCATTCTTCTTGTATCATAAATGCTCCAAAAATACAAGTATCAATTTAAATAAGATCTTGATTTGGGATTTACAGTCACTGGTTATATGCCAATATACCTTTTAGCAAAAATTTCAAACTTGTTAACATTATTAGTGAAAATGATTTGGCACAGATTTTTTTAAAACACCATAACACTCTTCAAGTCAAGGCCAAATTATGGTAAGCCATTTCTGCAAGCAAATCTAAATTTTACTGGCATGCTGGCTAAATCCAAACTAAGCAGTTTGCTTAGCCTTGTTTCATAGTGGAATTCAATGAAATGCAAATGTAATATAGCATGGTGTCTCTCAATCCTCTTCTTACACCTCTTAATTACTTTATCCAAATGAACTACTGAATTATTATGTTATCAATTTAGCAGTTCACAAGAATTATAGCAAACACAAATGGCCTACCTCTGCCCAGTCATAGAGCTCCTGTAACAATTCATGAGTGAGATCAGAGATCCCCAAAGTAATTGTTTTCCCTGACTTGTTCAAGAGTTGCATTTCTTCCCAGAACAGCTTGATATTCTCAAATGTTGCTTCATAGTCACGATCCATGGGCAAGGTCAGCACCAAGGATTCCACATACTCAATTTGCAGAATCTGGAGGACTGAAACACATGCACAAAAAGAGCTGCATTATTCTTTGGCCTCAAAAAATATTGCTTGAGGAAGAAAGGAATATTCCACTAGTTTGCTGCACATTAATAGAAATTCATTTAAAATCTCCTTAAAATTCAACACATCAGAAATTTTAGAGAATCACCTTTATTCATTTCAACACCTCTCAAAACCACACAAACACACAATATATCAGTAACTTCAAACTGATGATTCTTACATAAAGCTAGGAAAGGGTTATTTTTTAAGTCAGATACCAAAACTGAGCTGTTGTTGAGCATGAGGGCAGAAACATTGAACAACTGTTTTGAGGCGAAGGGAATCAGTGAAACTCCCCCAGAGTTAAAGTAGGAAACTAAAGGGATAGAAATTGACTGAGTTTTCTTTTCAAGCTGTATCATAGAAGTGGTAAACCTACCATAGGTCTTAGGCCGACCAGGATAGTTATTTTTACTCCTCCTATAACCCCAGGCACTTGAATGCCTTCATCTGGATATTAAAATGTGACCATAAACTATATAAGCTGGAGCAAGTTCATACTCATGTTGCCCAAAGGCATACATTGAATTGTAACAATAAATTTCAAGTTTGAAGTCTGAATGAAAACCCTATGGTTTGAATGAAAAATCTGGTATTTCTACAATAAGAGTAATAAAGTATCAAATAAGATGTCTTTTTTGCATCACCCAGTACTTAACCTTATTAATATGAAACTAATATGGAAGAATTATGTCAAGACAGGAATATTGGTAGCAGAATATTTGAAATAACTGGTAGGTCTTACCATTTTCTAGAGCCTCAGAGATGAATCCCCTCCTCAACTTGAATGGAAACAGCTTCAAGGTGATTCGTAAGGCACTCCGGTCCTGTGGGTTCTTCTGATCTTCCTTTTGTTGGCAGGTTATCTGAAGCACATCATAATGTGTTCTATCAAGTAGTGCTTGATTAGTTTCACACCATAACTTTCAATTTTAGCAGTTACAGTCATGGCAGCAAAGAGATGACTTTTGTCCAAGTTCTCCCCATCACCACCCTCCCTTGTTCCTTTACCTCCATGCAAACTTGTTCCAGGCCCTTGAGGCCCTTGCTCACATTATGTATCCACAAATTTCACCTTCCTAATCTGACCATCTACTACAACTGGAAGGTGAGGCACCTACTGTGACTCATCTTCAAAACCTCCAGCTCTAACCTATTAAAAATTTTGGGAAGCAGGGTGACAATTGAACTTGTGACAGCTCTGAAGGTTGAGTCAAAAGCCACTTAACCACAAGCTCTAATAGCAAGCTGCTGGCAGAAAGGAAAGACATGAAGAGCCCCCCTTACCCACAGCAACAAATAAGTTGGGGTTAGTTTTAAACAAAAAAAAAATGGTAAGGGAAACAGGAAGATAGAAAAAAAGGAATCCAAGCCTTTGGAATGCAGGTCTAAGCAAAACTCACCCTCTTGATCCCATCAAGAGATGCAACAGACTTGCAGCGGAGAACAAATGTAAGGGCTTGGTACAGCTGTAAAGAAATTAGCAGGTATTACTCACAGGTAGATTTTCTAAAGTTTATAAACATAGAGCATAGTCTATTGGTCTTGGCTTATAATGAAGTCTGCCCTTGAAGCACAGATCTTGACCTGGGACTAACTAAATAACAAGCATTGGCATTTCTTCATTTTGTGAACAGTGTGTTGTGTGACATATGGTTTCAGCCTTGTCAACAAACAACCTATGACAGCTAAGTCACTATCAAAGTTCTAGAATGGCCTATATAAAATCATAATAGACAGCAAGTACTCTAAGTATGCATCCTCTATGATTATCTTTAAATGAAGTAGACACAAACAAGGAAACTGTATGTACATCAAGAAGAACCAAAGATGAAGATCTAAAGATCATCTGAATGCCATAAATATCAATAGTAAGACCAATTCATCTTTCCTTCTGACCACTGCAGATTGTAAATGAACCTTCTCTGCCCTGAAATCCAAAAAGATAAGACTGAGAAATCATCTCAAAGCCTCACTGCTAAATATCTTTGTACCCATTTCTGCTGAGGGTCTTCCTTTGCAAGACTTTTAATGTTCAGAGGTTGGGTTCATCTTGAGATTTCCACAAGGGATGTGAATAGTACCCATGACACTGCTTTCAGTCAAGTTTCTTCAAATGCATTTCTTTTTTTAATATCCTTAGGCTGGAGCAGAGAAACTTCAATGAAAGGGGTCCACGACAGGGGCAAATAAATGAACCCATTCAATTTGTAAACTTTCTTGGCTGAAACTCTTATTAGGCATACCTACTGAGTCTGCCATCACTGGTCGGTGCACCAGACTAACTTTTCATCACTTCTTGACTGCTGCTAAGCTCCTTTCACCAATAGCCCCTACTCAATCTGAATGAATTAACACAGGACATTCCTCAAGCAAGAGTCTGAGTCATGTGAAATATTATCTGACTCAAATGAAAAACACTACTACAAAAGTTTACAGGTTCACTTTTTTTCTCCCATTCACTTGGATTGAGTTTGGTGCTGCTAGGAGAGCCAATGGTTGGGTGTTACAAGAAAGAGTCAGGTGGGAACAAGGTCCCCAAAAAAGCTAGGCATAGGAGGGGGGGGGGGGGGGGGTTTGGGTTAAGGTGCCATTTCGTGGGCCAATATAACTTCTTACTTTTCAATTGAATCACAACACCCATGAAAGAGGTGATCGTGGGTACACACAAAAAAATACTGGAATTTGCTTACAGTCAGTATTTCCTGAGATAACTGTATGTAACTGTTGATTGCATGACTGGGAATATTCACACTGCTACAAGTGTGCCATTTTAAATTATAGGAGCAGAGCACACTGCTTGTCCTTGCCTCCATTCTAACCCCATCCTGTGTGACCTCTGTTCCTTCCACCCATAAGATTTTGTAATTTAATCAATTCTGTAATCACTTCAGAGCTATAGACTCAGGCCAATATTTCACTATACCCAAGCACACTGCATAGAACTAACTATAAACCAAGGGAGCCGCATTCCTTCAATGTTGGGCTGAAAGAGTGAGAAAGTCAACCTATTTTGGAGAATGTTGGATTAGAAAATAATTGCTGCCAAAGGCTGCAACCCTTTTCTAACCCAACTGACCCATCATCCTCCAAAATAGGTTGACTTTATCACTCTTGGCCTTTGACACTGAACTGGTTACTCACAACTGGACCTCTGGCCCATTTACCATCTCTGTTTGCCTTCATTGAATTCAGTGTGCAGGCCCTGCGGCAACATGGTGCTCTGTGCCTTTTCAGCTCAATCAAAATTTGCAGCATGTTACTGATTGCAATACTCCTCCTAAACCCATTATTATGTAAAACCGATAGCAATTCACCTAAACACATGACCATAGGATTTATATAAGGCAAAAATTTATTTGAATATATCAAGTTTCATTGGCCTGGGAAACAGCACCTTAGCCAGGGTTTGCCTTAGAGGTACCTTAGATATAACTGAATCCAGGACTGCCCTGAATATAGCCAGGAGCTGAAAATAATACCTGCCAATGATTATGTTAAACTTCTAACGTTTAACAATATGCATATGCCTAGTCTCAACTGAAAGAAAAGTATTAATGGCTTAGGGAGTGTGCATCGACCAATAACATTTAAAATATAATTCTCAAAGCCTCACCTCTTCTGCTCCAGTGAGTGCCCTTCTCTTCAAGAATGACATGTCAAGGGTGTTTCCCGACTCAATGACCAATCTATTCTCGTTGCCTCCTTTGTCCATGGTTCTCGCTACAAGGCCTGGGCAACCTTTCGGAGTGAATTGCGAATTTAACTCATAGGCTTAAACATATTTACGCTAGCGCCTAGGGCCACGAAAGGGTCTAATGCTGCACATGTCACGACAAGAGAGACCCATAAGCCAAGGCATCGTGTACAGACCTAATTAGAAGTCCAACCGTGTAGGCCTAGGAGAGCGACTACAAGTAAACACATGCAGCCGGCGTGTGTAAGAGGGAGCATCCATTGAAAAGGGCCAATCAGAAGCGTTAATGTAATCGAAAAGAGTGGGAATGATCATAGCATGGTCTGTGCTTACAATGATTTGCAAATGAATTCGTAATACCTTTGGAGTGGTTCACAAATTACGTAACGCAAGGGGGGGAGGGAGACACTTTATCTAATCCTCCCTCCCCCTCCCCCCTTGCGTTACGTAATTTGTGAACGGATCCTTTCACGGAGTGCAATGCTTTTTCTGGGGTGCATCCAAGGAGGTAAGGAAATATCTCCTATGATAGAAATGAAATTAAGTCCATGGAAAGCATGTTATAGGTCAGCGGTTCCCTGACTTCTTTGAATCGCGACCCACTTGCTGACTTACAGAAAATTTCGCGATCCACCGGAATCCAGAAAGAGGTATTTTCAAAGTACGTAATTATGAAGTGAAGAAAACTGATCGACCTTTTCTGCAGGGCATGTTTTATCCTGAGCGGATGGGGATATAATTACTTTTTATACTGGGATAATGTACCGACCCACCTTGATGCCTCTCGCGACCCACAGTTTGGGAACCACTGTTAAAGGTGGTACGAAATTCGTACCACCATCGTAGCACTACTACGAGTTAATTTGCAAACCCTTGCACATGTGCAGCAGAGGAATGATTTCCGAATGCACGACTTGTTTTTAAACTCACACACAATGGGAGGTTTCCCGTAGTCAACTCAGTCCCGCGCAGCAATTCAGATTTTGCATAAAACGTACAATGTTTTTGGATTGAATTCGTCGCCCCACCCCAGCAAACAATTTTAAACACATAACGTTGAATCAACGTTGAATTAACATTAAGTAACGTTTGGAACGTTGTTACAACGTTGGTCCAACGTGGCCTTGTTTGCTGGGACCCCGGATAGTGAAAAACGGAGAAAGCACAACTTCCAGAAGATCCGCTTCATCAGATGTTCCATGAAGCTACCCGAGTGGAAGATGTCATTGCCTGCAATCTAAAGAAGGGCTCCTTTGGGGGGCGGGGTGCGAATTCGATCCAAAACAGTGAATGGAAGGAACATGAAAGTCGACCCTTGCAAGACCCGGACGTAAATCCATTTCCTTGATGGACTTCGCCATGACAATGACATAATGTTCTGTGCGCCCTCGTCCTAAAATATATGGTTCAAGCGATGCTCGAAAGGTGTCTCAAAGAAACACGCAACATGTCATCATTGCTTATCCCCACAACCAACCAGACTGTCAGTTCTATGAGTGACGTCGTTCCTACTCGCGTTACGCGAATTGAGTTCCCGGTTACGAATGCCCTGCTAGATAGTATGTCGTGGTAATGGCTTAAGGCATCAACGGATGTAGCTATAGTATTCAGAGGCAACTAAAGACGCATAACGTGATTGCAACATGACATTCTTGCGATTTGTAACTCAAGAGTTTGTTTACTAGACCGCTCTGCGGTGAAGGTTTCTGAAAGTCGACCAAAAATCAAAAGTATAAGCAAGTGAAGTGCAGAGCTAAGTTTAGCGATTCGAATTAGGTTCGACGGCAAGAACCTGAGAAGAACAAGAGGCAGCCTGCCTCTTTTCTTAATTTCCTTCTTGTAGCAATTCCTCCAGCAGTCATTGAAAAACTATGCTGAGAAAAAGCCCACAGCGTGTCAATAAATACATTATAACCATAGCCGTGCAAACTCAATGCGAGGAAAACCAATGACCGGATCTATTTCGATCTGACGTTTCAACAGCAGCAGTGTGAGTGGCGAAAAGCGTATCGGGCTGGCACACGGTTACGCCAAGCGAATACCAGAGGTACGTCTTGCTGTTGTTGAGACATGTAAGGCGCATATATCCAGTAGGTTGGGTCCATCGAGAGCGTGCTACAGAGAAACGCATAGAACTGCTGCTCGAACTGTAGTCGAAGCGAAACAAGACAACCATACTTCAAAAAATGAATTTTGAGCCGTTCTCAAACACAACCAAGGCGATTTTTGATAAAGCTGACTCGTAGCCTACATGCACGAATGGAGGCAGATCTGCAAGCTATCGCTACCGTGAAGAATGAAGTCTCCCAGTGTGGTTGCAATGCATTTCAGAGCCACTTCTTCTTTCGTATGGACGTTGAATAGCGTCTTAAATGTCTATATCCAAGTGTGTTATCCAGGACAGTGCTTCAGATGTCAGGTGATGTATGTCCTGGAGACTACCAGAGAATTTTCTCCTTGAGCAATGTTTAATGATGTGTTGCAGAGTTTGATCAGGGGCTCCGCAATCACATGATGACGATGGTTTAATTTTCCATCTAAAGAAGAGGTGGCCGCACTTCGCGTGTCCGGTGTGGATACGGTTGATGGTAGACCACTGTTTGCAGGGAAGTGACGCTTCTAGAGGTTGTTGAGTCGGCTCCAAGACTAGGTCTCTGTTTGGGACATTGGAATTGTTCCAGGCGTTCCTCCATTAGTCCTCTAGGCTGCACGGTGTTCGATGGAGAGTACCTGCAGTGACAGAACGGCTTCCTTGATTTGAGACGAGGTGGTGGTAGGTTGTTGAGGTCTTCATGGATGGACAGGTCTTGGTTTGCGTAACAGTGATATTCCCTTGACGCCGCGGCTTCCCGGCGAAGAGATGGAGGCGCTATGTTTGCGAGCACCGGGAGCCATGGTAGCGGCGTGGATGTGAGGGTTCCGGTGATGATCCTCATGGTTGAGTTCAACTGTACGTCGACCGCGTTCAGGTGAGTGCTCGAAAGCCACGCTAGGCAGCAGTACTCGGCGGTCGAATACACTAACGCGAGAGATGCGGTGCGGAGTGTTTGCGTGTCTGCCCCCCAAGATGATCCGGCAAGTTTCTGGCAAGGCTCTTTCAGAGCCACTGAGAGCATGGGGCACTGGGCAGACCAGCGTGGCGGTTAGTCTAAGGCAGCGGTTCCCAGACTTCTTTGAATCACGACCCACTTGCTGACGTACAGGAAATTTCGCGACCCATCGGAGTCCAGAACGAAGTTTTTTCAAAGTAATTATGAAGTGAAGAAAACTGATCGACCTTTTCAGCAGGGCGTGTTTTATCCTGAGCGGATGCGGATGTTGTGATTTTTTGTACTGGGAAAATGTACGCGACCCACAGTTTGGGAACCGTTGGTCTAAGGTAGGGGAACTCGAGGGAGTGCATGCAGTGGGATCATACTGCTCAGCACACCTGGTAAGCTATAATTTCTTCTCAATTTTGGGCTTCATAATGGTCGCTTTTTCTCACTCTTCCTGCTTCTCGTGTACACGGTCAGGTTCCATAGATACAACTTGGGCCTTGAGGGTGTCAAGGATACATGGAAGCGAGGTGAAGACACTTTGTCTTTACTGAAGATGCTGTTCTTCGGCCCAGTATCAACAAGAACTTCAGAGCGTGCTGGATCAGTGTAACTTCAAATTGACTAATATAGATACTTAATGAAAGTTCAGGGCAGTGGAATGAAGATTTTGTCCCAGCATTTCACCTCTGGTCATTGTAAGCTTTTGCACAGATGCATTATACTCTGCAATTGAGTCCAAAGTATACACCCAGACTATGTTGGCAGAGGTCCTTTATTGACTCACTCGCACATTTATGACAAAGGCAAGGAAAAAAATCCTACCAAAAACAATCACACACATTCATTTTGAACTTGGGATAACTTGTGTGATCAGCCACAGTTTCAATGATGACTTCCATGTCGTTCCTTGGCTGAATACCTGAAACCAAGACAAGGGAAGTTTATAAAGTTTCCTGACACAACAGCATACTGCATAAGATAAAAAATAAAACCTTAAAAAAGTAGCATGCAAGAATATCACAACTAGAAACTGCTCACTTATCAAGCTTCCTTCCATCCACACGATCAGGACTTCGACTTCTATTACTTCTCTTTTCTTTGACCCTATTACGATCCCTCTTGTAGTGTCGCTCCCATTCTTCTCTGTCAGAGCGCTTATCTCGATCTCGATCCTCCCTCTCATATCGTTTCTCACGATCACGTTCATATTCCCGACCAATTCGCTCCTCTCTTTCATGACGTCTTTCCCGATCCCTGTCTCGATCATGGCTATGGGTCAATCGGCCTGGATCATCTTTCTCGTAACGTCTCTCTCGACCATCCCCAGGATCTCGTCGTTTCTCATCTTGACACCTCCTGTCTGAATCCCTCTCTCTTGCGCTGTTGCGATGACCATCATTACTGAGAAAAAAAGAGAGAAATACTTAACTTGGTAATTTATAAGTTGGTAAATCTCAAGTTCTAATAATAACCATTCAAAATCTTCCTCCTGGACTGTTCTGCAAGTTACCAGATCAAGAGCAAACTGACTGGACAATACATATTAATCTGAAATTGTGAGATTAGGACCTCATTTTGCACCAATGGAATCCTTCCATGCTGAATTTCTCCTACTCTTACATTGCTCCTTTTTCACCCTTTCCTTATACAATTAAAGGAAGATGGGAGTGCCTCCATTCACAAGATGTGAAGAATAATAAGTACCCTTTGGAAATTTCAAGGACTGACCCAACTTTCCCAAAGATCTTAAATTCATGCAACTGATATGGATCACCATGGAAAATATACATTACTTTTAGAAAAGCAAGGAGCCTCTGTAACTAGAAGAGGGATGAAATTGGCAATTGCATGTGAATAACAGTATCATCTCTGCTTCTCAAAACTGAGTATTAGTACCAGTACTTGCCTTCTTGAAGCTCCAAGCACATTAGTCTGTAAGCAATACTGATGTTGTAGCTACACAAAATGCAGCTCCATTTCCAACCTGTTGAAAAGAGCAGGGAATCATACATGTTATAGATTTATTCACATTCAATCTGAGAGCAATTCCATTGGTGCAATGAATGAAGTGAAAATTTGAAAAAATCTCACAAATCTAGGGGGAAAATCCTTTGAGGAGTGAAGCCCTCACCGGAGATTGTAGCCTTGATCCCTTCCTCTTCTCTCTCCAGCTTGGTGTGTTGAATCTCTTTCAAAACTGTGTCTTTGTGAGGTGTCAACAGGGGGGTGGGCTTGGTCTCTGCTCCTTGACCTTAACACAGTGAAACCAAGATCCATATAAAAGCAATATCAAGTGGCAGCCCAAGGGAGAAGCATTGAGGAGTGGACCAACCTTGTGTGGGATTGTGTTGCAGGATTCACTGCAATATCATCATCTCGTCTCACTTTCTCAGGCTCATCTGGGCGCACACTCCTCTGTGGTCCAGTCTTCTTGGGTGGGAACTTCTCTTCAAGTTTCTTTTTGAGATCTTTCTGTTTTCATGCAAAAAAAACCATAGCATTGAGAAAATAAGCAAAGATACAAGAACAAAGGAGGCATAAGAGGAAAAATAACAAACTAGGCCACACAGTGGTGGCACACAGGCACCATTGGTGAAGAGTCTCAGCATGACACATGAAGAGTGCACTTTCAGTAAAAGATCACGGTAAGTGAAAACAGGACTCCTCACCTACCTCAATGGGGACAGGAATACGTGGGAAGAGGGCACTGTACCAGTCCAACCTGGTGAGAAAGTGCCGAAGCATGTCACCTATGGTCATCACATGGCCTCCTCCAGCTCGCACATCAATTTCCTATGATTAAGTATTTGTTGACATCACAAGAATATAATTTTTTATTAAAAATAGGCATTTGCAAATATCACTTGAGGCATTGGTTACTCTTTGAGCCAAGAAAGGCCTATGAATTCCTTTCCTGGGACATATCCCCACCATCTTTTAATTCCATTCATTTTGTATGAAAGAGATGTCTAAATTATGAGGCATGCAATATCTGATGCATGAGTCAAGAAAATACACTCAGTCTCCTAGCCAGAGCATGTCCCAGACAGAGATAATGACATTCCTTCATGACAAGGTCCTTTGTCCCAAAGGCCTTGCCACTCACCAGCTACTGACAAGCAACATTGATTTCTTTAGCACTGCAGAATGGTCCCCAGGCCTTAAGGTCTGTGAAATTTGGGTTTTATATTTACCCATTTCCTGCAACATTTTTTAACCTTGCAAACTGAGGGATAGAGTTGTTTTAGTTTTTTTGGGAAAAAAAGTGAATTTCACTTTTTTTTTTGTTCATGATGCAATTAAGACACTTCCAATGATCATTCGCAAGATCAAATGGTCTACAATCCTTCTTTAGTGACTGTGTCCCATGACAATGAGCAAAAGGTTCCATGCTACTCAGACCCAACTACCACCCTTAAGGGGCAGGGGAATGTGTACACAGACTAACTCTGTGGTTGTTGGAGGGTAATGGGTTAAAGAATCAAGTTGGCGATATAATCCACTGTGAGCCTCTTTGGCAAGGATTCTTCCATGATAACCTATTATTCTGTTTGAACTGTTTGACATCCATGTTAAAATGTTATTATTACTGAAAGTGCACATTCCTAGGATTCCTGCATATTTGTACATGATATCACATATTACATGCAGAAATATATGTTCTCTTTTCAATTTCCAAATATTGCCTGAAATTAGTTTCCATTCATGTATTTTCTATTTGAAGCCTTGGGCCAAATAATATATTTCAAAGTCAACTGGTTAAAAAGTCTGTTTGAAACTTTAAATCTGCTTCTAAGAAGAATGATGGAATCTGTTAATGAGAAGCAGTCTTTTCACCAACATCTTTAGGCAAATTTATATTTTCACACAGAACCTATTGATCATTGGTTCCACTCAACAACCACCTTCATTGCCAACATCTTATATCCAATGCATAACCATAATTTTATGACTCTGCCAAATGGGAATGAGTTGCTTTCAAAGTTGATTTTCTTCTTACAATTTTATATATTTCAATTTTTTTTTACAAGTATATTTGCATACTCATTTTAATATTCTTTTGCTCATAAAAATCCAATTCTTACTAAGGGGTGCAACCTGATGACAGTGACCAATCATTGCCAATAACATTATGATACAGCACTTTCATAGCACAGAAGAGCCTGACTTCAGAAGCATATGCAGTCTGGAACTAGTCTTAAGGGCAAGGAGCAAGGAGTTAACAACCAATGAGGAATGAGACTAAACCAATTTAAACTGAGTTACGCGAAGGAACAAGTCCTAGATCTTGTGCAGAGAAAACAACAGAAGCAAAAAACAGGTTGGGATAATATCTCAGCATCTCACCTCTTCATCTTCAAGGTATGACTCATACCATTCCCAGAAAGTGGATGGAGGTTGACAAAACCTGGAAAAAAAAAACAGGATAAAAAATGTCAATGTGATGAACACATAGCCTAGGTCCTTAACAAAAGAGGACAGAGAAGCCATCTCAATATGGAGAGTGAGAAGAAAAAAGAGGGATAAGTGGGCATGTAGTACCAGTCACAGCAACTCTGGAGTAATTGAATTTAATTTTAGACAAAGATGTATATCCAAGGCTAATCAAGGGGAGAACATTTTGACTTCCTACTTCTGATATGAAGTGTATAATACACTGAGAATTTAGTCCTAGAATATGTTCTAGCAGTGAATATGTTAGCTAATTAGGAAAACATGACTTGCCTGATGTACATGTAACCAAGGGCCCGAATGTAAGGGGAATCAGCATGATTCAGAAGTCCAGTAAGCTGCTTCCGTGTCAGCTTCAATGTGAAGAGTTTGTACAGAATGCAGAAGGCAGTGGACACAATACCTCCTGCTGCTACTCCTCTCACTCCACCACACATGCCAGTTTGTCCTGAAGTTTTTCTGCTTCCCTTCTCCCAAGGCTCCAGGTGCCTCACATTATAGTAAATCTCATCAATCACCTCATGATAGGTCTTCAGTTGATACAAGGTCACTAATAAGACACAAATGAAAGAACAAATTTAGGAATATATAAGTTTAGTCTATGTGGGCCACATTAAACATATTTCATCAGCCTACAGTGGTTCAACTTAAATGTAAACCTGGCAAAAAAAATGGATGGCTTCTCATATTAAATCTTGATGCATACCTGGTGTTTTATGAAGCATTTTATTTGAACCTGAAGCAAACCATAAAAAGTTTAGTCTTCTTAGAAAATGCCCAAGTACAACCAGGAGCATGAACATAAGAGCTGAAAAGATATGCAGAGACTTGCAATGAAGCAAAACTAAACAAAATTTGAGATACATGGAAATCCCCATCATTTATCAAGATAACAATGGTAACAGAACTGAGAAACTCTATTTTCATTTATATGTGAGCCAGACAAACACTGAAAAAGATCCACTCTCACAGTCCACTCTCATCTTACATTTGCTCAAGGTGAAGGAGGGATAGAATTTTTTTTCCACCTCAAGGATCAAACTCTGGAAATTAGAGCATTATAAGTGCTGATATATAACATTAGGCCTAAAGAAGTACTTACAATTCCTCTTTTGCCAGTGGCATATGATTCAAAGCATTTCTTTCAGATAATGGCCAATGACAGTCATAACTCTATCCTATCCTCCTCTAGATAGGTTTAACATTGATGCATTCCATAAAGGGCATCCATGGGTAAAAGGTCCACTGTTTACACATCCTAAAGATAAAGTTCAGTTACCAAATTGTCACTTCAAGACATTCCTACTGGTGAATTGGTCCTATCATATGAGCAAAAGGGCTGTGTTCCTCTAGCTCAGATGTCAAGTAAATAATGCTACCCATATTTAAATGCCTCTAGGTTCATGCCACCTTGAATGATCCAGAAACTGTTCTGCAAGTTTACCAATTTAAGCTCTTTCCAAGTTTAGGGTAGTGTATTTCATGGTTTTAAAAATTATTTAATGCTGTCACATGAAAGTTTCAAGCCATAAAAATAAATTGGGTCCAGCCATCCAAAAGGCATGGCTAGAGGGAAGTTAGTTTTTATTAGCATTACAAGGAAAAGGTGGAATTACCTTCAGAACACTGAAAGTGAAATATTCTTCCACTTTTACAGTTTGGAAGACTAACTGACAAATGCATTGCAGATATATAATTTAGGTTACTGATGCCTTAAAGACTAGTGAAACTAGAGAAATGTATATGGTTGCTTGTAAGAAGTTGCCGCTTAGTGCAAGAGCATGTCTCCCACAATATCAATCTACTCTTGACTGAAATTAGTACAGTCAAACTACTCAATAATATGACAATCTACAGTGATGGGGTCACTATACTGCCAACATGCTGCAATGGTAGTTCACCAAATGAATGAGCCCTATCTCATTTACATTAAACCAAAACTAATGGATCTTAAGTTCCTTTTGGCTGCATCTCTTCTGTGTGAGATGAAAGAATTCAGTGGTAAACAGGACCAAGTAAATCATATTCCTTTGGTCTTGGTCAAGAGGGTCAAAGCAAACTTATTTTGGAAAAACATTGGTCAACTTCTAATTATTGTTCCCCAAATAGGTGAGTTTCATCACTTTTGACCTTAGACAGAGCAATGAGATTCACTGACCCTCCAGACACCATGGTAAAACAAAAAAAGCTTAACAAACCTATTAGGATTAAAAATAAAATCACAAGCAATCATTGTACACATTCAATATGAAGTCAATTATACCCTTCATACTCACCACAAATCAACCATGCCAGCATGTCACAAGGAAGAACAAGTAAGTTTCCCATCTAGGCCAAAAGAGTTCCCAAAAACAGACGAAATGTTACAAAGGTATACTGGGGCAAGTGCACCCATATTTTCCATTTGATGACCTCAGTCTGTTATTTAAATGCCCTTTCATAGTTAAATCATGAATTTCCTACAGCACAGCAAATCAATTTTCACTGTAGTGTGACCCCATTCATAGTATCATTATCAGTACCACATTTCTGTTCACTGTGCAGCCCACTGACAAATAGGTCTATACAAGGCCTATGTCCTAATTTTTATGATATAATGGAGCTATATGTCTGGGGATAAGCAACAGGACTATTGACCATGGAATATCAGCAACATGTGGTGGTTGTTTCCCAAGCCTAGGTCCATACAAACCAATATTAATGTTATCCTGATGGACCTTTACACAGAGTGATGACATCAGCAATATTTAGGATAAAAGCTAACTTTTTCTTTTGGCCACAAGTACCTGAAAGTTTTGTGTACACTTAAAATACTTTTGAGTAAACTTTTGAATCCAATTCCATCAAGCTTAGTAGAACAGCAAGAACTTCACTCCACTTCACTGGAGCGTCTCTTCTGAAGTTATGCCATTGATAAGTGGTTTATTTCATCAATGCCAACCAGCTAGTCTAAATAGACCGTAAGGGAAGGTTTTAAATGGGGCTAGGCTAGATAGGTACTTTGAGTTCAACAGGTTCTCATCCGACTTTCAACATAGGCCTAGGTCTACCGTTGGGTCACAACTCCAACAGAAGACTCCATAATAACATAGGGGGTATGAAGCATTCTCACCTTTGAAATAATGTGATGACTGAATGTTGCTGAGAATCAGTGGATTAAAATTCATCGTTTTCTGATTTCCCCACAGAGAGAGGACATTGTTCGTTTTCCCTATCTTGACCATTTGGACAAGCTCCTTTTCCTCCACAGATGAAGCATCTGCTTTGCCATGGGTGGGGGACTCATTCGCTCCCCCACTACCGTCGATGTATCCTCCTTGCATGTAGTTGATAAGTGAAGCCTATAATAGTACGGGCCAAAGTAACCAGTGGAAATAGTGAAAATGCGAGCGCAAGCTATGCGAACTGCCTCACCACGCCAACCGCGACCAAACCAACGCATGCGAGCAGCCGCAGTGAGGAGACAGAGGGAGGAGCAAAGAAATTGTCATGGTCGCGCCCTCTTATAGTGGCCAAAACGCAGAGTCGTGTTATCGGAAATTGCGAAACTTCCCCGTGATGTTTCACTATAAATTGCAATCTCATAGAGTGGGATAATGGAAGAGTCCGAATGCACGCTATGCATGGGGTGGAAGAAGCGGAGAGTATCTTGGATTTTGTAGTTTCTTTGAACAAGTCCCTGTTTAGTTTTTTTCACTCCTGTATGAGGATGTTGCTTCAAGTTCTGTAGCAGGTATCAAAGATCTCGAGAAGTAAGGGTTAATATTACTTATCCATGTGCGAGGCCACTCAACATCCTGATGACAGGTTGGCCAAGGATGACCGAGCCAGAGAACTCGCAAGCATTCATTCCAATCAAATTGAGGACATTCATCAGGTGCCAATGGACGTGATAATACGACCCTTGCCATCGACCCTTGAGGAAGAAAAAGTTCAAAGTCTGATTAGAACTTTGCAGGTGACCAATTGGTCTATTCAAGGATGACACTATTTTCTTATAAATAGATAAACATTTATTTTTTCCTCACAGAATCCACAAGAGCGTGATGATGTTCCACCAATTGACATCCTCTGGATTGTAGGGAAAGAGGGTGGGAATTACTATTACTCCTTTGGTGGGTGTCATCGATATGAAGCCCATCGCCGTCTTCAATGCCCTACCATAAAGGCTAAGCTCATTCAATCAAATGTTGAAGACCTTCATTCCTACCTTGGTGCCTCTACTCCAGACTTGAAATGAAGAGAGTGATGGGAGGAACAGGTTGAAGTTAAGTGAGGATAGGCATCTTTACATGTATTTCAAGGGACCATGGCTTGTGAGATATTTTAAAATTTGTTTTGTTCCATGCATCAGTATTTCTTAACTCTTTTTCACATTACTCTGCTTTGTCTTTCTGAAATTGAGCAAAGTAAGCTTTGATATCTTCATATATTTTGAAGAAAATGATTGCTTCTGTTTATGCAGTTTATCCATCTCCAGGATTTGCATCTAAACTTAACATAGAACAGGGTTCATCAGTGAAAGGCCTCTTCTAATAATCTCAAAAAAATTTATTACCATAATATGCCACTTAACAAATAGCATTGACAAGAGTACCACAAATTTCACAGGTGACAAATACAGCAACAGGGTTGACATGAACACATCCAGTATGAATAACATTTGAAGACAATCTCAGACTCAGATACAGTACTTGTGTACCTGTGTGCAAGAAGCAAATCCATCAGAATCTCTCCATGGATTCTTTGCTGTAGAAAACATGAAAATTTGATATATAAAAAACATAAAGAAACTCAAACAATTCCACACGCTGCCCCAACACACGAGATCAAATAAACCATTTGAATGTAAACTTCAAGAGATATCAGAGCTATAGATACAGTTCTTTTGAGAAAGACAGTCTGAGGGAAAACTATTTATACTGAATCTGTGAGATGCACACTCTCCCTGTGTCAAGGATACCAGCAGAATAAAAGTCAACCTCAGATTCTTATCATACCAAAGATGGTAACAACCACTGAAACTGAGCTCATCCAAATACATGTGCATTTTTGTATGGCACATTCAATTCATGCATGAATTGAAAATGATTCTACAAATAAGGGGGGCTGGCATGAAATTCACTAGATGAAACACTTCAACTAAAAGGTCAGGTAATATCCTCCAGTGATGATTATCTCTACACAGGAAAAATAAAATTGCTTGAACTGGTCTACAAAATGATGCACAACCTCAAAATTTATCTTGCAAGGCAAACATATAGAACATGACTCAATCTAAGTAGGCAGATTGAAGAGGATGGAAAAGCAGCTTTTCATTTCAAAGCACCTTTTCATGAGCCACTATGAGAAAACTTGCTTCCACTCTCTCAAACTGGCTAAATAGTTACAATTGCATGTAATACAGATTTGGCTAAGAAAAAATACCAGAATATTACCATCAGGAAATAAAGCTGTCATAATGCCCCTTTGTGAACTGCTTCAATGCTCATGTACATTCTTGGAATATGACAAAATCTCATGAGAGTATCTGTAACAACCTGTATTACAAAGCAATCTTAAAAAGCTGTCCTGAGCCCAAAAGTTATGACCACTCTTAGGTACAATATCTGTATTATGAAAGCCATCTACAATTGGATTCTGGAGACCAATGTCAGGTCTTAACATCTTTGCCAGTACCACTATGAAACAAACCTTGGGTTTGCCTATGTCTTGGGTCTGGTTTACCTCTTCTGCAACCTGTTGAGTATGATTTATACTTCTATGCTCTCATCCATGCTGATATCTATGGGAAATAGTTCTCTGAGATCATCTCTTGGTAGTCTTAATATTCAAGACCAGTTCATGGACATGAAAACCTGATATACTTGGTGAGTACTCACAAGGGATGCTTGCTTAGTTTATTCACCCACTTGCTTGGACTCAATAGGAGTCTTGAAAAATTACAAACCTTGAGTGAGCACCTAGTAAAAACTTAGACCCACTAGTGTTAACAATCAACCTGAGAGGGGTGTAGTCACAACCATGTGACTGGCTTCACCTTAATGAAGGTGAATGTATTATTGAATGCAGCAAAAGGACTCTGATTACAACAATTGTTCAAGGCCTCTAAGGCATCATTTGATACCCAGGGTACTACCACAGACCCAAGGATTGTATATAAAGAATGATTCCATCAAAATCACATGCAAATCCAGTTCATCATTTTCTACTTGGCATTTAAGGGGGATACATCCATTAGATCCAAGAAATATGGACACATCATTCATAAGGGAGGTAAGGTGTAGGGTGCTGGATCTTAGCCTGAGGAATGCCAAACAAAGGAGGAAAACTAATGGTAATGTTTCTGCTCCAAATCCAGGGAACTCCATCATGGTTTTCACTAGCTCATTAGACATGATTTGCTACTTCTCATGTCATCATCTGTGCACACTGATGACAAATAAGCACTCACAGTAAGAACTTATATTCCCAAATAGTTGACTAGATGGCAGTCATTTTTCGGGAAAGTGAATGGATACCCCTTGCAAGCAAGAATGCATATAATGTAACAATACATTCTTCTACTCACTAGTGAGTACTTGCCAAATGTATCAGGATCTTTAAATATACTTCAAGTTGGACAGATTTCAAGACACAAGTTCAAATGTGAAACTTTTCTTAAACTTAAGGACTAGTTCTAAATTCCAAGGCTTCATAAAAATGACTCCATGTCTAATTAAGAACATGCTTCAGACTGCTTTGTCTTACAGGTACAGAATCCATATCAATATTTTATGGGCACTCATCTCAGCCTCTACCATAAACATTGTACTGTAATGAATTTGGTGCCTCAAAACTAAGTCCTCATCAACACTTGCATGGTACTCATTTTATCCTTCACCATAATGTACAGGAACATATGGATTGTACCTATGACCAACATACACATGTAAATAACAATCATGGACTAGGCAACTCATGCCAATTACAGGGAAAGAGAAATTACTCAAATTCCTTTCTCCATATACTACTGTAATCAGTATTGGTGTCATTTGTAATCAATGATTATTTCATTTATCATATCTTTTGCACAATCTATTTGAATGCAAACCATAGCAACAGGGAAATAGTCCAATAAAGAAGTGAGCAGTAAAGCATCACATCAAAACAGGAGCATGACTTGGAGTAAATTTAAATTGCATATTACCATGCATCCTGGAATCTTTATTGTCCTTATGAAGCAGATGGGAACTAGACTCATATCTCAACCAGAGGAGTCTTACACAAACCATGCTAAGAAAATGTTAAAACAAACCCGCATGAGAAAATAACAAAAATTCATTTTTGCTCCAATTATATGACTCATAGGACACAATGTCTGGACTTTAATTTTGCTATTCCCAACTGCTTCCATGTAACTTAAAGGGAAAGAGAAAACGTAACCTGTATGACATAATTGAGACCCATTTTGACCCGGACTGAAAAGGCAGTCATCACAGACATAAGTTATCTTCAAATACACTCAAGAGTGACTGCTGGATTTTTTTGCTGTCTCTTTGCCCTTGGATTTTTTCCGAATCTCCCTCAACCTTTCTCTTGCATCTGGGCTTAAGAAACCTTGAGAATTCTGGGGATTATCCACATTTTCCTTAGGTTTGGTAGAATTCCCATGCTGTTTCAGGGGCTCCTGTGAACTGCTTTGTTTCTTCTCAGGCACCAACCAATTCTCCAGGTGCATCAGCTTTGTGTTCACAACCTCACAATCTATCTGCATCATTGCAACATGATTAGGAGGTGGCTGCATTGAACCTGGATTGAAAGAAACAGTGTCATTCCAAGATGACTTTCTTATAATTTACCCTGTATATCAATTTGGAGAAATGGTAAACTCACTGTTCAGTGGAATGGCAGGAAGGATGAGAGACATCTTTGGCCTATGAGTAGCATTATGTGCAATGGCAGGGAGAAGCACATGATCTCCAGAGAAGGACACCACATAAAATGTGTCATCTTTACGATGGATGGCATCCAAGAAACCAGAAAGTGAGAACTGCTTTCTGATGTCAAATACTTGAAGGTCTTTATGGAGTCCAGTGTTGTGATCTTGACTTCCAAGATTAATCTCTCTATAGTTTCCAAAGAACAAGAAAAATAGCTCCAGTATTAGATTAACTTTTTTTTCCCACATTCATTCAAGTTTATGGAACAAACCAGCATTTCACATACCTGTAGCTGAACTTGGATGAAGGGATATCTTTGCTGAAGAGAGGATCATCAACCAGGAGTCCCTGAGATGTCAAAAGTGGAGCCAGTGGATATCCAATGACTTGTTTAGGATGAAGCTTCGGATGGAATTTTCGATGTGCTGAACTTGAGGGACGCTTTGCTGAATCCAAGCCAAATACCCACCCTCGCAACTCATTATCTAACCTGGAAAAGTTTTCCGAAGCTCAACATGACATGAAGCTCTCTCAGGAAGTATGGAAGCAACAAAAATGATTTTGGCTTACCGAAGAGATTCAGATTTGTTAATGGACATAGGACATGTAGGAAGATCACCAGGTTTTGTGAGATTTCTTCCATAATACTCTTGGTCACTCTCATTCATCCAAGAATTATCCTGACTTTCATTGGTCCATAAGAGTGAACGGCCATGATGGACCTCTGCACTGGGACTTGCAACTGGGGTATTCAGGAACATCTCTCCTCTCATTGGTCTTCCCAGTAATCCCCTGAATGAGGAAAAGAAATGTTACCTTCAGAGTTAATAACATGCCTAACAAAGAAGGGCAGGCCACTCGGTACAACACAAAGGACTCACAAGAGAGGTCCCACATTGAAGAGGAACAAAATACAGAAGGCAAAAAGTGTGACTCCTTTCTTGGAGTTACCAATCAAAGAGCCTCCAGAACTCAGAAGAAGTTTCTTCTCCTGTTCCAATAAGCAAATCCTTTCTTGTAGAACTGCATTTTCCTGGGGAAATAAAGTTTGCCTTAAAATTCACTGTATGGGAAAAAATGTTTGCTTTGAAATTTGCTGCAAAAGGCAATAAGGTATGCATATTCATAAAAATGGGCTTTCACACTAGGACCAAGCAGTAGTGACTGGCAAGAGGTTAAAATGAATCTGCTTACATTCAAAACTTTGGATTTGTCTTTCAAGGACCAAATCATATTGATAACTTGACTCTTTTTAAGTCTACCTTCACTGTTTATGATCATGATTAAAAATGGAAAAAAAAAGTGCAGAAAATCTGAGAAAGAAAAACTTGATATATCTTCATCATATCATGTATCATAATCATTTCTGGATTCTCCAAGTCAATTCAGCCTTGTTCAGAATTGAAGTCTCCACAAGATCTCATAGAATCATCAAAACTAGTCATTGTAATTGTCATAATGCATCAATATTTGACTTAAGCAGAAATGACCCAGGTCAAGCCTTTTTAGAAGTTCCTGTCTCTAACAATGAAGAACCAACATATGCCTATGCTCTTTCTTACATCTGGCTAGCCCGATGTGTAAAGATCAAAGAGAAAATCACTGTATGTCAAACTACAGTGTCTTTCCCTTGAGTCAGACAATTTCTCTCTTGACCTCCAGACATCTGTGCACAGGATGTTCCTCATGCACAAATGTCTAAATTAAGTGAAAATTTGACTCAAGTGAAGAACACTGTAGGTGACTGAAAAGCAGATACCTGGTTCATTTTCTTTTTTTACTCAGTACAACAGTAACTAATTGAAATGATTCATATGCAAACATATAATTAATATTCTGAGAATGTTTTATGAACAATGAGCTCAAAACTTTCTACATGAACTGGCATCTTCTGCACACATTTTTCACCACTGAGGACATCTTCCAATTCTTTGAAAATAAATTCCTGACTGATACTGATACAAATTAGATTTATTGCACAAATTTTTCAAATGTCCATGGCTTTACTCAATAGACATTTTTCTTTGCCCAGTCCCACAGAAAGAAATTGCAGAGGATGAGGGAAGAGCTTTGCTGTGACTACTCTAACACCATTGCCAATTCCACCTGAATAACTCAGTCAAACTTTGGAACTGGCTGCAATAGATAGTTCTTTAGGCAATGGTGTTACTCATGCAACAAATTTGATCAATCTTCCTAATTTGTTAGTCTAGGGCTTCAGTCCATGCCATATGCCCCTGAAATATTTTAATGATTAATTTTAGCCCCAATGATAACACCGTAAGTGAAAGCCCCATAACTTGCAAACAAAAAGTCCTCAAGAATTCATGCCATTCACATTCTTTGGTGAAGACTTGGTAACATGTAAAGCCCAGACAAATCCTGTATGTGTTGCACTGGAGCTTGAAAAGGAGACTCACATTCCGCAAGGCCTCATTCTCTGAAGAAAGCTTCCCAACTTTAACTTCTAGAGAAGTCAAGTATTCCTTCCGCTTCTTCCGTGACAAAAGGGCACTTTCACGATTCTTGATCAATTTGAGCTGATACTTCAAAGCTCGATCCTAGGAACAAAACGTTGAATCCCATGAACCTTTCATCCTAAATTCTCACGAGTAAAGCATTAGATAGATTAAAAGCAGCCATGGCATGGGAATGACAATTCACGCATAGTATATTCAAGTTCATACAACTTGATTCTGGGATACTCCGAGTATATACTTATACCCAAGCCTATAGGAATTTCCAAGTGAATTTGTACAATCTGTAACATTAAACTTTTCATAAGGGGGGAAAAAAGAGCTTTTTCTTTTTACTCAATACTTTGGTTCTTTTTGGATGATTGCATCATTGAATGGATATGCTTCTGTACACACAGTCCTAGTCAAAATCAACTCTTTGTTTTTCAAACCTTGAATTCACCATTGCACAGGATGTAAAATTAATGAAAATTCATTAATTCCATTATCATGGTAGGATATAGTCTTTCCAATCTCAGGTGGGTCATAGGTTCAGTGTGTCTCTTTGAGAATGTACTATGTATTTTTAATTTCATAAACTTTTAATATCTTTCAGAGCACCTCTCTTGCAACAATCAATGGTGCCTCAAAGTTGTTCCTATATCTAATAAGAAATTTGGAGAGGGTTTCTTTCCACCTCTGATGAGTTGCCACTTTCATGTATTCAAGGAAATAAGACAACATTCAGTAGGATGTAAACCTACTTCAGATGTGAGAATTGAGTCCCTGATTTCCCTGGCAATCCTGCCTCTTCGCTTTGGGGCTTCTTGCTTCTTACAGCTTGGTTCAACTGTTCCTGTTCCTCCGGATGGTATGGATGGATATGCTATGGGATTAGGCATGGAAAGATGGGTCTTTGTACTTGCACAGTTGCTCTGACAGACCAGCCCATTGATTGCAGACTGGAGACATGACCCCCCAGCATTTGTGGGACCTAAAGACAGAGAAAAATTCCATGCATATATTCATCACAAGTCTACAAATAATCTACTAACCACACAGTTCTGCTTTCCAAATGCCATTAACTGAATACATTTACACTTCCAAAGAAAACATCAGAGACTTACCAGTAGGGGATATGCAGAGAATGTCCTTAGCATCTTCAGACTTGATTGGTAAGTTTGCAGATGAAGGATGGCCTTCCACTTTGGGCTGTAGCTTTGGGAGCTTCTTATTTGCAGTTGCAGCATCTTTCCCAATGGACTGGGTCAGTTGGCTCGATGTTGATGCATAAGGAGCTATCACAAATGAGCCATCATCTCCTGTTAGAACATACCCTGCAAGTGAAATCAAAGAGAGGGGACTCAGAAAGGTTATGAATACCATAGGGAAGCACATTGTGCCACTAGGTTATAAATGTAAAAGAATCTTGACATTTATGAGCATGGACTGATTTGTAACTCACTGCAGAATTGGAGAAACTTACTATTTTCTGAAAGGCCACTGACATAGTACTTCTGTTCTCCAACAGTAACAAAGATAGATGCTTGGCTGTCAGAAGAGGGGGATAAAGGAGGCGTTGAATCAAAGGAACGAGATGAACTTGAGACTCCAGAAAATGGAGAAGGCAATGATAGAGGGCTATCAACAAAGCCAGAATCTTGAGATGGAGAAGGCTGCATATCATATATGGAGGAGTTCTCATCTTGAGACACAGGTTTCAGCATGCAGCCATCATCATCTTTCAGTAGATCCAAAGGTGAATCAATATCTCCATAGTCAAATGACTCCAAGTCACCATCTGCAAGAGAATTTTAATTTATAGTGGGGCTTGCAGAGTGCAGGCAAAAATTAAAGTTATCTGCAGTATAAGGACAATTACATTGGGCCTTCCCATTTCAACTGAAAATGTGTGAAGTCCGCTGCTCAAGTATTGAACACACTATACTTAAAATTACATAAATTCACACAAGTTTTGTTTTGGCATAATTCTTATTTAAAATGTAAAAATTTGCAGTGCAAAAAAATTTAAGCTAAAAAAATAGGTGGTTAAATCACTCTGGGCTTCAATGTTCCCCCTCAAGCCATTGTAAAGCATGATTTGGACATCCTCTTGAAGACTTTCGACTGTATGGTAATCTTGAGTCCAGGAGCATTACAAATTAGCATTTTTTCTTTGAAAAATATGAGAAACTTAGGAGCTTCCACATGGTAATGCATACTGATTCTGAATGAAATGCATGGAGGTGTTAGCTGTCAGCCAGGTGAGAGTAACAAGAGATAGCAGCCAGTAGAACTCTTTCTGTGGGTATTTATGATGTCTCCATGGATCTCCACTCCATAGAGACCTGAAGAGAAGCAACTTAGAGCCCAACTTGAATTAGGTAGTTTGATGAGGCTTGGGAATAAGTACAATATGTATTTCCTCTAATTTCATAGAGTAATAAACAGAAATGTGAAGCGCCAGAGTTGGATGAAACTGAATAGGCAAGATTAAGAGGGGTCTAACTGCACATGGTACCAGAGGTCCCCAGAGGCTGCTGCTTCCTTTGAGTGGAAGCCACACCCAAGAGTTTTTTGCTTTTAAAACTATCCATAGAAAACAAACTCAATTCCCAAGTTGCATCCTAAGAGAGGGCAGGGGAGGCAGACATGACCCTTGAGTCCCTACAGTCCTGCTGCTATTGCTGTACACCAATGAGTATGGTACCACATCACAATATATATAACATTTATGCATGGTAGGTGAAGCCTTGCAAGGTAAAATGCATGGATAAAGGTAGGCCTAATTGTACTCTCAAATGATGTATAAAATGGCAAAATGTAATGTCAACAATATGTAAATCACCACTGTACCAAAAGTTGCCATAAACATCTCATGTCCCACAGTTGACTTGTCTGTGAGGGCTAGGAGGCTGTGATACTCACCATGTATTGAGTCACTCATGTTGTCACTTACATGAAGGCAGGAACACCTGCTCTCATCCAACTAGGTCCCAGTCAGATTTTGGCACACTTTGTGTTCCAACAACATTATGTCCTTTGTTCTCAATTATTGAGCATAAGAAATCTATGGAGGCAGTGAGTATGGAGAGTCCCCTTTCAAAAGTTGTCACCCCCAGATGTAAAAAAATAAATAAAAAAAAAGAACAACTATTTCACACAAATGCACACACTTAGAGCAACTGACATGTTATACATGAGACTAATCAATACCTGAAATGCTTTGGGGTATCATTGGAATGCAGCTCAATTGTAATAATAAATAGAAAAATAAACAATCATACAATGTAGAGGCAACTAGTGTTAGTGACATTACACACTAATCATGATTACATGATACCAAGAACAACTGAACATTTTCCCAAAAAGGAGCCCCATTGAAGCACAATGTATGGAGTCTTCATGCTGAGGAATTCAAACCGCAGATCGTGAATGATCTACATTCCCTTTTACTTAGACTAAAAAAAAAAGAAAGCTAGAAATGCTCACCACCATAAGGCCCCAAAAAATCGCCAACTATCCCTGAAGAGCCTTCAGATGCATCAGACTCCAGTACAGACTCGATAGTCAGTTTCTCATCGTCAAATGTACATCCAAATGGATCAAAATCCATTTTCTCATCCATAAGGTGTTAACAGCTGACAATATTCGCCAAAGGGATCATTTGGAACATGACGTTGCTTAAACTTTCACACGCTTGGGTCAAAACTCATGTGATTCATATGCCTCTCATAAGGTAGGCTACTCTCTCTTCACAAGACGTGTTCCTCAGATGACGTTAGGCACAGGATTGAAAGAACTCCTGGAAAAGAACGAAGTCGATAATGATGCGGGCTAGTCCAACATTAGGACTAAGCGTTATAACAGGAGCCATTAATAGAAAAAGATAACAGAGCATGCATATAAGGCTGTTGCTAAGACTGAACTAAAACGAATGTCAGCTATCTCAGGCACAAGCGTCTGACCACAGGTCATCCGGCAGCATCCCTACCACGCCCAAGCAGGAGGCAGCCACGCGTATAGAGGCAGACATGTTCGACTCCTCCCCTGGTTCGACGAAAAGCGTATATGGGAAGAAAAAGCCTACCTCAGGAGTGATGCAAGCTTTCATTATTGTCGCCTATTGCTTTACCGCTGGGAAAGGGCTAAAAATGAATATTCTTCTAAGTGATGGCATGAAAAATTCTATGTTCTCATTGTAAAGGCATTGACATGATAAATAAACTGGGGCTCATTCGGCGACAATTTAGATGAGACTGGTCTACATGGTTAATAGGACGTTACAATTGAGAATGCTCCAAAGGGGCCCGGCAAATACCTCTGTCAGAGGACGTCTTATTCATGACTGGATTTTCTGATGTACTCTGATCTGAAGTTGAATATGAAATTTCATCTGAAGCTAAAATCAGAATCACGCTCAAGGTAGTCATGATATTTTAGGACAGGATGTAGACTGCATTCAGTACGGTGACAGCTGCACCTATCAGAGAGCTTTTATGATGGTTTTGGAGGCTTTGAATTGGAGGATCAATTGATGAAACAGAAATTCAGTTGAATTTCGGAGAATTCCCTCCTTTCGTGCTGCATGTCTTGAGGAAGGGCTACCCTCACCTCCCCCTGCAAAAAAAGGTATTAATAATAATGATGATTATAGTAATGGTAATAGTAATAATAAAACTACATTGAGTCGGGGAAACAGAGTTGTAGGTTGGAGTGACTTATTCTAGACCAGCCGGGTTCAACGGGTCGCTGTTTGAGCTGACCAAGCAACGATTTCCAATTGAATGCCTCCCTCTAGTTTCTGGTTCAGTTGACCGGGAGGGGGAAATTCACGTCCTTTCCATTCGCCAAAAAAACCAACTTCATGTCGCATCATATCCTCACAGGCTCGGCTCATTTCCACCGCATTTTACTTTATTTCCGTCACTATAAAGGGTGATCTAAAAATATCTAGTAAACTCATGTTTTAGAATGAGTGACTCTGAAGCAAAAATTGAAATAAAAGCATGAGTTTACAATATATTTTAGATCATCCTGCATATTGAAAAATTGGTGAATGGAGGAGCTTTAAAAGGTACAGGAAGTCCAGTCATTGGGCGATCGGCAGTAATGGGCTCTCAAAGAGGTGAGAAAACTTTTCTACGTATTTCTGTATGAATCTGAACGGGGATTCACGGCGGTTTGAAGAGATTCACGACTCGACTTGGGGAACTTCATGATTTGCCTTTTCTGTGGGAATATGGAACTTCCTATATATACAGGGTGGGCCAAAAGTTTTTGCCCCTGTATAAAAATGTGAATATCTACTGAACGGTTTGGGCTACAGAGTCGAAAAAAAACTGAAAGATAGTTCATTTCATGCTCTTTCTGAAAATGTATGGTTTTAGGTTCCTACATTCATTTGGAGATGATTCATGGCCGTTTGAAAAAAAACATACCGAAAAAAAAAGTTGCCAAAACGAACGGAAATCATCCTCAGCAGCTGGCTTCAAGGTCGCGCACGCCGTCGTTTTCTTCCTTCCTAATTGCTCCCTACCTTCTTTCCCTTCAGAAAAAAAAAAACTGAAAGAAAGTTCATTTCATGCTCTTTCTGAAAATGTAAGGTTTTAGGTTCCTACATTCATTTGGAGATGAGTCATGGCCGTTTGAAAAAAAACGTACCGAAAAAAAAAGTTGCCAAAACGAACGGAAATCATCCTCAGCAGCTGGCTTGAAGGTCGCGCGCGCCGTCGGTTTCTTCCTTCTTAATTGCTCCCTACCTTCTTTCCCTTCTTCATAATGTGAGGGATGAAAATTTGAAGACTTCGATGCTTGATTTGGATAACCGACCAGCAGAAGATCGTGACAAAAGTCAAACGACCTCCAGTGGTCCACTCCGCGCGTTGTGCTGAGTGCTCCTCTTTGCAGTGTTAATTTTTTATTTATTTACCTTTTTTACCTCTTACTCAGAAACCCTTACAGGGAAAATGGGTACAAACCGTGTTCTAACTGAGAGCGATAGAATTTTAATCCGGTCGCTTCGTGAAGAAAAAGGATTTACCTTGAACCAAATCTTGTGTGAATATCCTGATCGAAAATGGAAAAAAAAAACGACTGTGCGTTATATCTTGTGAAAACTGCGTGAAACTGGCAGTGCTGAACGTCTTCCAGTCACAGGCCGTCAAGGATGATTTCCGTGGGCGGCACGGCATAGGTTCGTTTTGGCAACTTTTTTTTTCGGTATGTTTTTTTCAAACGGCCATGACTCATCTCCAAATGAATGTAGGAACCTAAAACCATACATTTTCAGAAAGAGCATGAAATGAACTTTCTTTCAGTTTTTTTTTTTTCGACTCTGTAGCCCAAACCGTTCAGTAGATATTCACATTTGTATACAGGGGCAAAAACTTTTGGCCCACCCTGTATATCAATGTCCATCTTAAACTTTCAAATGTGATTTCAGTTATTAAAATTCTACCTCAAATGCTCTTATTGAATTTTAGGAAACGCTTAAAATATCTTTAAATCGAGGGCTCGAAGAGATACGGTTCAGAAACTGGACATCGGCGGAAATTCCTGTTGACGTCGCAGGAAATGTTGAACGTTGCACGGCCTTGAAAGTCGCAGCTAATGCGCACCCGATGAATCAATCTCTGAATCAACGGATGTGCTGCGAGGTTTGCCGACGCCGACCTTCGTTAGCCATTACGAGTGTAAACACACTTTATCGTCCTGCTTAGGCAAAGAAGAGAGAAGGAAAAATATATTTATTTGCATAAGTAATTGCTTAAAGATGAAAAGGAATCGATGACGTTTCGTCTAGCTCAGTGTCATCAAGAGGGTGTCACATCAGAACAGTGTCGATCAGGTCGATCAGGTGTCGACTCTCTAGCCACTACGATTAGTTCTTCTTCACCGCTCTGTTCGGTTATATTTTACATGCACATTTATTCGCCTGAATTGTTTGACGGGTTGCGAAGGACAAGCGCTCTACGCAAATTTTTCCCTCATAAACTTGTTTAAATATCGGGTTGAGCCATTCTCATATTCCAGAATGCTCTCCCGAGTATATTCAATTTCTTTGACTTGAGAAAAAACGTTAGCTCCCCATGCAATCCCGACTAGGAGAGAATCTTCCCCACTCTTAGTTGTCGCAACGACCATACACGTTGTAACGTTCTGCTTGACGCCATCGAGGCATTAAAAGGTGTCCAATCTCCTCTTCCCCGTATTCTTCCTGATGGGCGCAGCGTTCTCTCTGACGCCAACGGTGTCTGATTTTAATAAGCTAGCACTTCTCATACGAATTATCTACTCAGAGATAGACTATTAAAATGTTTTTAATTATTATTTTGTTGGGAAGGCTACTCATAAAATAGATTCGAACGTGTAACTTAAGAGTGTAAGGATGATAACTTAATGTATAAAACCTCAGAGGCTGGCCCTAATTAGAGAAAAAGTTGCCTGTAGACTGCCACTCGATGGACACTGTATACTTATTACAGAAGAGTACTCTGCGTGAGTCGAACCTAGTGCTAACCAAATTACACTAGTTGAAGTACATTAATTTAATTTAATTTAAGTAATAACTGATAAACGACATAAATCACCGAAGAATAGCTTCTACTTACCATTGAATGTCAAGTCTGCCGTGAAATTACTTCGATTCAGTTACTGTAATTAGCCCATCCCATGTTAAAGATCCCATTCCAGGAATATTGGCCAACAGTCCAGAAACCAAAAAGGAAATGGTGAATCGAGTGATGACTATGATGGTGACGATGGCAATAACGTGGACGGGCGGACTGAGAGTCGCGGTCCAGGGGCAACAGGTCTGCCCGGATGCGGCGGAGATTCGCCCCTGCAATTGCACCTTCGACCAGGAGAACTACGAGATCGACGTGGATTGCTCGGATGCCTCCAATGGCCAGGAAATTCACTCCGCTTTTAACTGTCCCAATTGGTTCTTCAAATTGCTCAGGTCTTTTTCTCCTTTCTCATCATCCCTCTCTTAGAAGGATTTCGTAATTTCGCTTATTTTCTGGATACATAACTTCATTGTTATGAAGATAGTCTAGGTCTTTTTTGCGCTCTGATATGCTGTTACTTAGGGTTGATAGGGTTACTTCTGGGAACTACTTCATTACTTCATTAATTGGTGTTACTTCATTTTCAAATCCGGCAATATCTGGTTTCTCCACATCTGTCGGATCTTTTTTTTATTTCTGAATATCGTATGTTATTTATCCAAATAGAGAGGTACGGGTTTCGAATAGCCGGCTTGACGAGATCGTAGAAGACGGGTTCGCAGAGCTTGCCTTCAAGGTCATCCACATGTCCGGGACGAGAATGATCCAATTCCATGAGACGGCCTTGAACCCGTCCAAGGACCGCCTGGAAGTCTTGACCTTGAAGATTGGGAATTTGGATACTTTCCCCTGGCACGCTCTGAGCGGGATGACCAAGCTGAAGCATATTGACCTGTCTAGCAACTCGTTGAGGGAGGTGCCGTCGGATATTCCGACTCCTTTCCTGGAAAGCCTCTTTCTCACGGAGAATCGAATCGATACTATTCATGGCAACGCTTTTCGACTCATGGAAAACCTCAAGTATCTCCGCCTCGGTAAGAGAATGGCAAAGGAGGGATATCCTTTATTTAAAACTCGGTTTAAATTTAACTGAGTTTTATCATTTACCACAACATTTTCAGAAAATGAGGAATTTCTTCATGTATTTTTTTAAAATAGAAATAAATAAGTGTACGTTCACTTTAAAGTGTCACTGAAGGTCACAGGACCGCGTGACACCTATACAACCATCAGTGGCGAACGCAGGGTTCGGGAGAGGGGGGTATCAGTATTATGGTAGCTGAGTGACGAACAGGTGAAAGGAAACGGGGTGGGGGGGAGTGCTGGGTGAAAAGAGGGCAAAGCGGGGCCTCGACGAAAATTTCGGTCGCCCACCCCCAAACATCGATCTGGGAGTGGACGAATAAGGTATTCGTCCACTCCCAGATCGATGTTTGGGGGGTGTTCAAGGAGCGGAGGGTAGCTCGAGCCCGGCGAACGCCGATGAAAACCATCAATTTATTGACGCTTCTCCGAGTGTTCCGAATCGATGAGTTACATGTGCAAGGAGATGTTGTAGAGCCCGTTTCCTAGGAAACCAAGACTCAGCCATGTGTCAAACCAAGAGTGGCATGGCTTAATAATAGAGCGAGCACATCCAGTTCAACAGGCCATCCCAGTTGTCATTTGATATCAATGGTGGGAAGTTCCCTTTTCAAAAGCAACGTTGTACAGTTTCAAGTTAAATTCTGCAAAAAGTAACTAGTTACCAGAATAAGTTACCTTCCGAAAAGTGTTACCAGTTCCTTTCTCGTTACTTCCCTCGTTAACTTTTCCCACAAAAAAAGCCATGAATCCTGTTGATGCGATGCGAATCCTCACGAAACGTCATGATGGCCTTGAGAGCATAAGGAAGCCTGGAGAAGCACGACTAAGTGGGAAAACCCCGTGTCTGGTGTGCTTTACCTGTCAGCATGGCATAAACGCACGAGTGTAAGATGAAAATGACGACCGAAGAGGGAGGGTGCCAAGACTGAAGGAAAAATATGTACTTTTTTAAAGACTTTTTACATTTTTAAAATCATCATACTTCGGTAAGACATTTCTTGCAGTATGCGGGACGCGGGACAATCGAAATTCGGGACTGTCCCGCAGAATGCAGGACGAGTTGTCACCCTACTTTGGGGTGACATGTCTCTATAACGTGCTCTGTTTAATTCTATGACCAGTGGTGTAAGCAGAGGGGGTCCCCCACCCCCTCTGTCATCATCGTGGGCAAGTCTTTTAGGTGCCTTAATACTGACCCCCCCCCCCCCCCCCGGAATTCCTGTATACGCCACCGTTCATATTTGTTTTGCTGAATTTTTTTCTCATGCCGTATCTCATTTTCATTTTCTTTTTCCGTTTCATTCAGGGAACAATTTCTTCCAAGAATTGCCCACGGGGTTGGTCAATAATCTGACGGATCTGGTGGAATTTTTCGCACATGGGGGATCCCTGGAATGCTTGGCGGAAGGGACATTGAATTTCAACAGTCCCTACTTGGAGCAAGTCAGACTGGAGAGCAATCGCATTGCTAGCATTCAACCTGGCGCCATCAGCGGTATAACAATTTTAGCTTCCATATCTGTCTTTGTTCGCATCAGTCGAAGCCAGGGACGCAGGTTCGTAACTTAAGTCCGGCATTTATTTAATTTTATTTTTTATGCAGCGAATTATCGGGGGAAGCCTAACCTCCTGCTAAAATTGCCTCCCTCCTGAATTTGTAACTAAACGAGATTGAATCTTGTTTAGTTACAAATTCAGGAGGGAGTTTCTGGATATTTGAGGTTGATAGGGGTTAGGTGAGTTTACTGAAGGGAAGAACAACAGTTTGATATTTGTGTCCAGGGCTTGAAGCCTCCTGCACGTTGTTGGACCTGAGTAATAACAACATTCGGCACCTCGCAGAAGGGACATTTCTACCGATTGTCCGGAACCTGACAAAAGGAAACGGAGAACTTCGACTATACGGTAAGCATTCCAAACTCGAATGGAAGAGACAGTAGTTCCGGAACTTTGACAATGGTGCAATGATGTAGGGAATCCGGTGGAGTGCGACTGCACCATAGCATGGCTTGTCCTGTCCGAGACTCTTCTGAGGACAGTGACGGGAACCTGTACGGATGGGGTATCCTTTCAAGACTTGGACCCGGAGATTTATTTGATACTTTGCACGGGCAGAAGGAATGCATGGGGAGATATTAGACGGTGGAAAGCTGCTCTCAAGTCCGGTGTCCCGATATCACATATCCTCAATCACACCTTCAACTAACTAAAAAACTTATCTGCTCAGCTGCTCCCTTCCCCCCCACCCACAACATTGCAGTCTGTTCATGAAGTGCAGAATAAAGACGAGCCTCGTACTGGCTAACATACATGGTCTTTCTCCATCAGTTTTGGTAAACCGAGAATTTTGGCTTGGCCCAGTTTCGGAGACAGGGCTCCCCCCTGGCGAGGAAGAACTACTTGGTCGCAATTAAATAATGCGCATCCTACTTATGAAGAAGTCCTTCTTGGGAAATTGCAATCAGTTGAGATACATCCAGGAAGAAAATTTTTCCATGCATATCATATTTTAAAAAAAGTACGAGCGTGCCTAGCTACCTGTATTCTCTCTATCATAAATTTAAACAGACATTTGAAGATGGAATACTTAATTACTGTGAAATTACTGGTAAATTCGGACCGGTCATATTACCATTAAATTATTTATTCATAATTACGTATTTCCCTCAATTAAAAAACACCCTGCAACTGAAGGCTTCCCTGCGTTTTGAGTGGTCACATTGAATTTATGATCCTTTGCACCTTCAAAATAAATATTAAAAAGCAGATGCAAAGCTTCTGTTTTCCAACAAACTCCTACTTCGATTGATCATGATATCTGAAAGACTTTGGCTTTCTGGACCTAGGATGAACCCAGATGCAACACATGGGGCTACTTCTTGGAGGCTACTGCTTTGCAATCTATGGGAATACATTATTCAGTGCTACAATGAAAACTTCTGTAATAAATTCCCGAGTTGCAAGCGTGACATAACAGTTTTCCATTTCAAACGAGAAGGGCCCTACTGTTGAAGGAAAAAAGTTCTCGAAGTTAAGTCAGCACAATTTTTTATTACACTGTTTTCGGGTTGAATTCATACCATCCTCCCAATAGAGAATGGAGAAAACAATTTCCGGAGTATCTGCTTCACCAGACGATCAACGAAACCACCCACTTGGAAGATGTCACCACCTGCAATCGATGGAAGCGCTAATATGGGGGGAGTATAAATTCAATCTGAAAACAGTGTGATTGCAAGTCTGACCAGCTGCAAAACCGAATTCTTCCTTCAATTTGCCAGAGTTCAAATACACCCATGTAACATGAATCTCAACTATCCAAAAATATTTAACTTTAAACATTGAGTAATCTACAGAGGTGTCGGCAAAGACCCGTAAACGACATAATGAAGCGTCATATGTCTTCATGTGGCCTAGTCCATATTTCGTGGATTCTGAACAAAGACATTTAAAAAAATAAAACACGCTTTGTAAGAGCATTGCATTGTTGCTAGCAGAGTCCAATTCAGTGGCAGCGATAACAGCTGCATGTATAACTGATTAAGATATGACCAATACTGGCTATTGCTGCAATTTCCCCTGCAGTGACATCTGAGGTAGGAACTCAAACAAGAAGGCATTGTGGGAAGGGAGTGGGATCAGATCCTTCATTTTAGGGTTCTACATGTGCACATTTAATGGGAGAGAAAATATCACGTGGCGCAAAAAAAGCTGAGTAGGACAGCACCGACAGCAATTCAAAGTACGGTCACAAAATGTAACTTTTCCGCGCCTGAGGTGAATGCAGTCTCGGCACCTGTCAAATGATTTCTCATCTTGATCCATGAAGGCTGTTTGTTTTTTTTTTTACGAGGGTCGTTCAATAAGTAAAGACACAAACGTGAAAAAAGCCACACTACGTGAACCTAGAAAAATCATACTTGAGGGCATTTTACTTTTGACATTTGGCAACACTGCTACCCATGAGCAAGCATCTGTGTTCAGTTTTAAGTGTGTTGAACTGTTGATGGAACTCAGCAACATCTAGCATAAGAGACCTAAATGATTGTTTCTTTTATTCTCTAGAGCTGGCGAGAGGTACTGCCGTGGCATGGCGGGCTTTACGTTGCTCCATCGTTGATGCGGCTCCTCCAATGGGCAATATCCATAGGAATTTATTTCAAATTACGAGGTACAATCAATATTTTAACCATGGAAATGATTTAACCATTTTTAACTAAATCAAGGGAGGAAACTTCGGAAGGGAATCGAAAAGGGAGAATTTCGGGGGATCCGTGAAGCTAGTTCTCCATCTCACAAATCAGGATGATATGTGAGAAAATTAGTGCTAATTCCTTTTAGGAGAAAAGCTAAAAGCTGCTCTCGTTCGTGGGAAGGGGATAAAATCACCATAAAGCCGCCCACCAGCAGAAGCATAGATCCTACTCTGGTCAAATTAAATTCAAAGTAAAAGATAAAAATCCTTAGTTCTTAAAATGAAAGAAATACACCAGGATATACAATATGATACATATTTCACTGAGTGTAAATATTTACTGTAGCGAATCGTGAGTCATACACAAGAAAGCATAGAGGAACCAAAATCGAAGAATTGAAAGCCACACAGTCCTTGCAACCCAAACCTGCAGTGAATGTGAGAGTAACGTTGCGAAAAGATACCTTCAAAATTAAGGATCAGTTCTGCAAAATGAAAATCTAGGTATTTTCTGAAATGAGTAATTTCATCACCATGAACATCAAGATTCGCCTCAGCTGCTGCAGCAGAACGAACAACCTGGTACGATCTTGTAGTGAGACAAAGAAGATCAAAATAGAAAATAATGCTTCATTCGCAGAAGGTGAAGCATGGGGAAACGTTTCCCTCCCTAGCCGCTAAGGTTTCGTAAGGTCAAATACAAAACCTTTTGGGACTACACCATAAAAAAAATACCGGAAAATTCCATGAAGGGGTTGGAAACAGCTTCTGGTTTGTGGCTTTCCTATAGGCAACGTTTAACATATTCGAAAATTCGAAAATGTCCAAAATTCAAAGAAATTCTTACCTTTATTTCACTTCTTTCAGTAGTTGGCTAAGAATTGAATGCCCACGTTCGTTATTGGTCGAATACAATGCCTAGTTTCCGCTAGTGCTAGCAAATATATAAATTTAATTGGGAAATAGTGCCTGGAAAACAAGAGAATTGCATTGATGAATCAGTCCGTATATTACGCTGGTGTAAAAGCCCGTGCGCGCACGGGCTGAAATAAGTCGAACAAGAGCATTTCGTGCATGCCTTTCTGTTTTCTCTTCGTCAGTTTCACTGTTCACGGAAGCAGCATTTTTGTGCACGTCGTCATGCACTTTCATCCTCTGACTGTGACACCAGAACTTCTCTCTTTTTCTTACGTTCAATAGATCCCGCCGCAGAATAGTTTAAACTTCCCCACCTTTTTGATAACACCAAAATTGAAAATAATAATACAGGCAACTTTCGATATACCCTTACTGTTGGTCTCGGCCGATTTTGGCGCTATATCGAGGGTGGCGCTAAATCGAAACGCATGGCTTTAAAATGGAGAATTATTTCCTAATTTATAAAAAAATATGCATCAAAATTTAAATTTAATTATTCCACATTGCCAATGGTCCGTGTCTCAGAATACACCAAATACACAGCTTTGAAAAATGAATCTATCTATTCTATCCATAATTAAATACAATCACTCCTCATTTTCAATTAGTGTAACTCCTATGCACCGTCTGCGCACATTATTGTCCCAAAACACTGAAAAATTATTCACAAAGTTTTGCTGACTTTTGACCACATTCGCCTCCTTTTAATGGCTAACTTTCGATTTTTCCTTCACATTTAAAACTGTCCTGTTCCCCATCACTAGATAGTGAACTAACCTGAACTGTGGTCTGGAGAAGCTGCGTATAATCTTGAGACGTTTCATTGCTTCAAAAAAAAAAAGAGACAGGATTAGGCGACCCTATTCGCCCCTCTCTTATCTCTGAAGGCCAATCCAACGCTAAGCCATCCCTTACAAACTTGATAGTTATGTGACCGAAAGCAACTGGCAGCATCACATTTGTACATGGTATAATAATTGTGGCTGGTGAAGTATGCTGCTTGGCGTAATATCGAGTAAGGCTCACATGGAATAAGACACGTATGTTCAAGTAATGGAGTTGGCGGATGGCGGCTAGCGAGGGTGGCGCCATAACGGGAGAGCGCCTATGGGGAACATTCGTTCTCAGGAAAGAGTTGGCGGTAAGAGAGAGTGACGGTATATCGAGGGTTGACTGTATTGGAGCACTGACTCGATGCTGCAAACTTACATGAAAGCGCTGTCGTAAACTGGTGACGGGACGGGTAACGCGGCAAACCATGGCATAAGTTTTTGAACTGAACTGGCACTCCCCAAGATGCAGTACCAAGAGTCCCCACTAGATGGTATCCCCGTTCCCTGCACCCTACCAATGCAATGAAGTACCTGCCATCCTGATTTAGCAAAAGTGTTTCTTCCTCGTCTTTCCTTTTTAAATGTGCAATTTATAAACAGGTACTAGGAAATCGTGGAATTATATTTTGATTGCAATATCAGATTCGGGGAATTATTAAATTTTGAAGTTCAGTATGGGAATTCAGAAGGGTACAGGAATAGGGAAGGGTAGAGAGAGTCAGTTTATTATTGTCACGTAGTACATATATGACGTGCCTTAAAACTCGTAAATTACAATTCCACACCGAGTTCCTTATTGGATGTGGAGCAGGAGAGCAGTGAGTCATCCTGGAACTATAGAGTACTCTTCTGAGTAGGTTCCAGAATCAATATTTATAGATAAGTTGGATATGTATAGATGCATTAGGACCCTTCCCAGCTGGTGGTACACCACAAACGAGCTTACTGGTAATGTGCTGGCCCTTAAGCGGCCTGGAAGATGGTGGGCAAGTGGGACATGTACCTGGTGGCCCACAACCCAGGGAAGTTGGTGAGCAACCAGCTCTCTTTCCCAAGTGTAGGTAGTGGGCCACAACCTATATGCTACTTGAGCTCCTATGTGCATGGATTAATAGATTAATTTACATAACAGCAAATTCTCATGAAACTGAACAATTTTTAGGCACTGTTACATATGCTTTGAAATGTACTGGAGTTCAATATGTTAGTAGCTTTGTATTTGTGAACATCAACTGACTCATGTTACTTTTGATTACATGTTTCTTTGCCACATTTCTATCAGGTTGCTATGCCACTGTGCCTGACTTTTTTTTTCAGTATTTCAATTAAAGTTCAATTTAGCTACTTGAGATACTTTGTGGTGTTTGTTTTTAAATGCAGGTGCGGCTCACCTGAGGTCAAGGAATCCACTGCCTATGCTCAAGACAATTCTCAAGAGATGTGGCACAAGCTTTGAGTGGATGACAAAAAGCAGGAACTTGCAGGCATAGTCAACTTGAATCACGTGGCTGGGACTCAATTTTGACTCCGTTTCGGCCTCGACCCAATAAATTCAAAAGCTTGGCTCAAGCTTTGACCTAGCAGACCAATTAGCCCAGGCTCTTGAGAGCATCTCTCTTCTAGGCCTCCCACTTTCCAAACCTGAGGGCATTTATGAAAGCTTTTGGTACAGGTCAAGTCTTAGTACACCTTCTGGAAAAACCATTACACTGAGACTCTTCTGAAGTCATTCAAAGAGCATTGTACTCAATTGACATTCTGCTCTTTTTCAAATTTATACTCCTATTTTGAGTTATTTTTAACTCTAACTTGAAATTTATAGACAAGAAAAAAAGTCAAACCTACCTGGGGAGCATTTCACCACGACGGATATATATGTCATACCCACTCAAGGGGTTAACTTGCTTGTTATCAGTAATATTCCTGGCATTAAAAAAATGGCAACTATTCACTCTTATTCAATATGAACATACAGTCAACTTCACAAGAAAGACTTTGGCTGACTAAATACAGCACCACTCAATGCATTAATACAATGACAATATGTGCATAAATGACAATGAACAGACAGAAATGATGAAAGGTATGGATCCAAACAAACCTAATGTTGTGGAGATGTAGAAGGTGGTTCTGCATCTCTGTGTTCTGAGGCATGCTAAATTCAAAACTGCAAAGTATTGCTACTGATAAATGGAATGTTTAAGATCATAGTCTGCACACAAAATCTACAGCAGCAGCTAGGTTATTAACAACTGCAAATGGCTTGATTAAATGCTGTTCATTCTCAGGCCTGTACTTGCCTGTACGTACAAGAATGCCCTTGATACCACAAGCTTGAGCTCCTCCAACATCACTCTCAATGTCATCCCCTACCATCACCACCTATTACAGGCAGAGTTTCACCTTCAACACCATGGTCATTTTTAACAATTCATGTAGAGGATAGGAAAAGGTAAATACCTCATTGGGTTGGAGATTTAGATCCCTTACAGCAGTGAGGAAGAACTCAGGATTTGGCTTTCCAACCACGGTAGCTTCAGCACCACATGCATATTCCAGAGCTGCAGTGAATGGTCCAACATCAAGTGTTAGATGATCATTCTCCCGATAGAATTTCCTGCATTGGAATATGAAGCATACCATAAGAAGTGCTGGAAAATGTAATGCTTATGTAGTGATCATGAATCAAAATTCTCCCACTTTGACACAGTGCCTTCCTTGAATAGGCAACAAATTGGGAAGGAAGTCAATTAGCTCTTTTGATGAATAATGTTGAATACTTTGTTACTGAAATTTGCAGATAAAATTGATACTTTCCACCCTAAAATTACAAGGAAATCTAGTAGGTAGTACCTTCAACAGAGAGGTTTCCTTCTCCAATTTCCCTCTAGCTATGAGCTAAAGTAGTAACAGGTGACAGGTGGATTATGATGCTTCTCAATGGAAACATGATACACTTCAATCTCTTCATCCTATGAACTCATCTTGTACCAAAGGTTTGTCCTACCATCATAAATTTCTATTTTTTTCTCTTGAGTTGTGTGGGATCATTAAACTAGTCAACAGAAAAATTTAAATACTAATTATAACATTTTAAATATAACAGCTCTACAGGATAGAATGAAGCAAACTGACAGCAGAGCTGAATCTGGCTATGAATAAGAAGGGATAAACTAGAGGATATGGAAAACAGTTCCCATTCTGTGTGGAGACACCATTCAAGGAGAAGATCAAAGAAAATACATGAGAGCTCCTTATCCAGTGCATGGATTTGTATACATTGTATTGCAGGTTAAATGTTAATAACAGTTAATAACAAACAGTCAAGTTGTTTGCCCACTTCTGCCAGAGATGCTGATGTTCATCAAGATTCCTGAAATTTGAATGATGTTGAAGTATTAAATGGAGAAAGTTTGCAACCATAAAAATGAAATATTTAAAATATAGCAATAAGATGGTACATTTACCCTTTGCCAAGAGAATAAAGCAGAGGCTTTTCCTGTCCAACAAGGATGCGGAATGCTTTGTTGAGATTCTCATAAGTGAAATCACCAACAGCATCTCCAAGAATAACACAATTTGGATTGGAGGTGCCAATGCCCTCAAAGTCTGGGAGAACCTGTTAATACAGAGCATGGAATGCAGAGCACAGAATGCAGTAACATAAGGTAGATTAGATGTCCATCTCTTTTTTTTTGGGTTGTCAGGCAAGATGGAGTAGCAAATGGGGGACATGGAGTTGAAGATGTTTTAGATGCAATTGTAGAAATCAAAAACATAAACTATTTCAGCTGTCAATGCAGTGTAAAGGCAGAGACCTAAATTGTTTCAATGTTTATGAGTGGCAAAGAAAATAGATGATAGAACATCAAACTGGATTGTCTCATTTATCTTTCTATTGTTTTTCTCCTGCCTTGGTTCCATTTTTGGATTTTTATTTGGTCTTGATGTTTTCCACTCTTAAATTAATGAATTTTAATTTATTTTGACTTTTCTATTTATTTAGTTTATTATTACTTTTTCCCCTCTCTTCCTCTTTGTTCCTTGCTTTAGGTATCTTCATATGAACTTTCAGTACAGCTTAAAAATGTGGGAATAACTCTGGACATGATCTCCATATGAGTCATTGATCACCTGAATGAGACTGACACTTACAGTTTCACACAAAACTTGATGGCCTAATACACCTAATTTGGTTCCCACATTTGCACATATTTTCAGTGGGGATGATAAACCATTAACAACACAATTGTGCTAGATAACCAGAAAGGAAGAGGTAGAGTATACATCTTAAATTTGCATACACAACTTCTTATACTTGGGCATAATGAAAAAAGGTCAGTCATAATTTGAAAACTCAGTCAGTGAAGACAACAGACAATCCAGAAACTTTCTGATACCCTCCATAAGCACCTGTATATAATGTAAATTTTAAATTAGGCAATCCATGCCACCAGAATAATTTACCTCTTTCAAAGCAATGGAAAATTCTTACAAGACTCTCCATTATTTACAATAAGATAACATAATTAAACAATGGGGATATTTTAGACAGAATTACTTACGTCAGGATGCACTATCAAAAAAGGCCGAAGGTCTCTCTCCCTGACAATTTTCAGCACAGCAGGGCAAGGAGTGAAAATCTCCTCCTTTATCATTTGAAATCCATGTTTCTTCAACTTATTCATGATACCTTCTCTGGTGGTCTGAGACTCATTGCTGACAAATCGCACAGCATATCCATTATCCCTTAACCTGAAGTGAAAGAATGGGAAGAGATGATTTACCACAAGATATGAGGATACCATAATAAAAATGCTATCAAGCAGGTGAAAAGCCATGCAGCTTTAACATATACTCCATTCTGATGGCAATTGAGGCTAAGAAGGCTTACAACAAGAGGATTTGGGGTTCTTTTTTATACATTATCAGAAGCTTCTAAGGTGCTAGAGAAGAGGATCTTAACTGTACCATGATGCTGTTGTGGTCAGTTACATCCCTGTTTTCCTGGAGAATATGCTTCTGTATAAATATTTTTTGCAGTAGTATTATCTTTTTGTTCTTACTTTCACTTACTATCACTTTTGTCCTTACATTTGTCTGAATGTTTTTTCTATTCTTGAAATCATGCAATAAAATTAAGTCATTTATACAACTTTTCTTTTAGTTAATTTTCTTCTCCTTATGTCTGTTCTTTTTTTATGTCTTCATATGTAGTTTTAGACACAGTATCTTACCCAGAAAATCCCAATGGGGGGGGTTTGACTTATGAAAAGTTGGCATTCCACCTTGCATTTATGGCCTAATTTAAAAATGTTTGCAAATTTTTTAGAATGCCCCCCCCCCCCTCCCCCCCCCTTGGGCACACCACTGGTCAGACATGGTTCTCATATTAAATTGCCCCAAAATAATTATTATAATCTGATTATTCAGTTATTTATTCACTTCCCTTTTCTCTGAACAGCATAGCAAATTAAGGGCTCATTTTTCTCAAACACTGTTCATCATGATCCCCTCCTTCACAATCACATGCCATCAAAGTGAAGTAGAATCCTCTTTAGGCAAAGCTGGGCAACCCACCTCTGAACAGCAGCCACTGATCCTTCAATTGCTTTCCCTCCATCTGAGCCACTCTCATACAAGACTCCAGTGATATCAAGCAGGAAGCCCTTGATCTTTTCCATTGAAAGTCTCATTCGGCATCGGGGTTTCTCTATAAATCAGGGATATGATCACAGTAATATGTTATTAACATGGATGATAATTTTGCATGCAAGTGTCAAGCTTATGCCTAGCCTAGCCTAACTTCCTGAATACGATCGAGATGTCTAACTTTGGTTTACGGCAATGAAGTCATGACTGTGTGGCTGTTTCTTGCTGGAAGCGCAGTATAACAAAGGCACATTACGTTATTCACTAGTGAAGGTCAGCTTGTTTCTATTCATAGCTCAGATCCACGACATAAGAAACTGAACGCGCAGACGCAACACCTACTTCTTTCGGCCTGACACGCGATAAGCACGTGCACTTGCTAGCAGCATGGCAATATTGGCTACTATCTGTGTTTTCACGTTCGACCTTTTCATGTTCATGACTCCGAGCGTGCAGGTATACCGCACGCTCGCATTAAAATTTTTGGACATAATCCACTAAGTAAGATTCTTTTGTGTCATTCCTGAGACTGAGCGGAAGGGGTGGTGCTGAGATGTAGATGGAAAAATGGGACAACACTGACTGCGCGCTAGCGGTTACCATGTGACTTCTCATGCTCATTCTGTACTTCCAAAGGGACAGAAGCCTCAATAATGTGACAGTCTCATAGGCGGCGATTCATAGGGGCTCAGGGGGCTCGATCCCCAAAAAAAGTTGGCAAAAGAATAAGGAATACTTGGAGTACTGCCTCTGAGCCCCCCCAAATTTCTCAACTAATCGCCGCCTATGGACAGTCTACCTCAACTTTTACTCATTTTCAATGCCCTTCTCGTGTGAATTCTTATTACTGCATTGAGGCATTGGATATAAACTGGTTTCGTCTTATGGACTACTGGTGAAGTCTTTGTAGACACGCAGAGTTCCATTGACCGCTGTATAGGAAGCTGCTGCCGGCGATGTCTTTTCGCCAAGCCTCATCTCTGATGCCCGCCTTCGTTCATGGAAATAAAGGTTTTTTTTTTTACTTTTTTATGGCGGACTTCGGAAGGGGTATGGTGCAGAGCAGCCTTAAACCGCTGCAGGTTATTACCTTAGGCCTACATGAATTAGGGAGGTAAAAAGAGCACAGGAAAATGAATTACAATGTGTAACGTTAGGTTTTATTTAGATCCGAAGGTGAAGGCCTGCCACGTGGATGAAGAAGCCCCTTTCATGTAAGATTTATTTGTGATTGTTTAGATATTTAGTTTCTTATCCAGGGGATATGAATGCTTCTGATAGTGATAGAAAGAAATACATTTGAGATTTGGAAATTAAAATTGAATCAAGCATTTTTCAAGCATCTGTTTCCAGATTGAATTCATACCGCCCTCCCTATAGTGGAGAATGGAGAAAACAAATTTCCAGAGGTTATGATTCAGCAGGCGATAGATACTGTACAGTAAAACCAACCATGTGATAGATGTAATCTTTCTACCTGCAATCAATGGCAGTGCTCCTATAGGGGATATGAATTCAATCCAGAAACAGTGTAATTCAGGTATTGCTGCATATGTGCCTCTCAAACTCAATGTTACTCATGTTCAATATGTCAATAGCTAGCCTGATTATGATATTATGAAGCTATGATGCTATGAATGATTAGTCTTAGCTGAAACTTATCTGAAAGTCAATGCTTTATGTTGCTCTTCCTATTCGAAACCATCTTGCCATTGAACCTAGTAATGCAGAAAATTTCATCAGTGGGAATCATATTTTCCTGCCACCATCTAATTGTGTGTTGGGACTGATTGTAAAGTTAAGGTATGTATTCCCAGGTTCCATAGCTGGATATGTAAAGAACTGTGGAGGCACTGTGGAGGTTACAAAATTGTAGGAGGGTATAAACATATGACTTGAAGTGCATAAATACAAGGTATGAAGAGGAGTGATGCCTTCTCTGAATCCCAAGTGCTCTCCAGTGTTTAATATATATATTTTTACAATAATGGCTGCATCACTTGGGAAAAGTTTGTTTAAATTCATTGTCAGTGACTGCATTCCTATTAAATTCTATTTGAATTTTCTCCTCCAATAAGGAAAAAATATTGATTAATATAAGGACCTGTTGGAATGTTCCCTATCTGAAAATTTTCTAAGCAATCCATTGAAGGAACTGAAGCCACCACATGGCTTCTTTCAAAGTAATCCCCTTAGGCAGGGGTGCCCAACCTACGGCCCATGGTGACAGTTCATCTGGCCTGTGGTGCTTCCTGAAAATTTCTTCCCAAAATCCAGTTTTTAATGGCCATTTTCTCTGTGTCTTCTCTCACCCTCACAGCAGTTATGTGAACTCCTTTGTTCCACTGACAGTTCACCTTGAAAGGGACAGCCAGTCAGCTAGTTCCCAAGAAAGCTTCTTTGTTACCGTGTCTTGTTTTCCTATGTTGTGTAGTGCCAGTGACAGTGATTGTCTGCTTCACAAAAAATTGAAATGCTGGCGGCGAACATTGGGAATTCAAAGACAGATGGATGGAAGACTATCTCTTAATATTGTCCGACGTACTCAATCCAAAACTTCACTGCCTACTTGTCAAACTACTGTAGCTGTAAAAAAAGTTGGCTACCCCTGCCCATAGGCAATCAAGCACTTTTTCCAGTGGTCCTACAGCTGCGTGAAACAATGTTGTAGGCCATTTCCTTCAACTACCTTCATTGCTCCTGTTCTGGCTGCTTGCATCTCCTCAGCATCATAGAAATGGTGACTCTTCAGGGCATAAAAAAAGAAAAAATTATGTCCTGTTAAACCTCATTCTCTTTCTGCACTTAAAGTTTTGCCTGAGGGGTTGCCCTTTTGATAATATTGCAGAGATGCAAGTAGACAAGATGGTGGCTGAAGGTGATTGCAGAATTAGGCCTGCATTTTTGTTTCACTCTGGCATATGACTATTGGAAAAGTGTGTGACTCCCAAAGGTAGCCACTTTGAAGGAGATTATGTGATGGCATGATTTCCCTCAGTGGATTTGGTATGGAAGAATCCAGTCTGGGAACTTCTTTATAGGTCCAAAAAATATGTTAAAATCCAAATTTCCATAACTCATGATGCAGGATGGAAAAGGATGTGCTGAACTGTGTATTGTCTAAGCCTCAACTCTCCTTGCCATATCAGCTACATGATCATGATATTAACATGGTTAATGCTTGCATTATATTTCTACACTGGAAGGTCATCTCATTGTGCAATTTTCTGGACTTGATTTTTTTTCCAGATAATTATTGCATCTACTGTTGCACATTAATAGAGAAAGGGTACTTCCTCATAAAGTTACCAGGACATTTCCAAGGCTATCAATTGAGTATTTCCGTGCTTGTATAACATATATACATTTTAGGCAACACCACAGGGCTTGCCTGACTTCACTGCTGAGTCAAGTACCACGAACCATCATGTGTGGAAGGACAGCTTGGTAAGTCAAATAATAGACCTCTCTTTTGCAGATGTCAGATTTTATGCAGTAAATGCAGTCATCAAAATTAAGGTAAAAGATTAAACTAGTGGATGACAGGTCTTAAGATATGATATCCAAATCCCAAGTTATCTGACTGAAATTTGAGTTATCTTTCATGTTAATATCTACCCTCTTTGTAATAGCACCTTGGGACAAAAGGAGATATGCATGGCATGTTCCTATAAGTCTTCCGAGACTGGAAAATATGTACAACCTGAGTGGAAAGATTCAACTGATGGTAAGGAGTACTGTCCATCATACAACATGCCTCCAACTCATCACACTCCTGTCCTAATATCCAAGATGCATATGGACAAGACTGCAGACCACTCTGAGAGGTTGCTGCAGCCAATGGTTTGGGGTCTTATCCCCTTCTGGCATAAGGTTAGCTGCCACTGGGAGATTGGCTCTTGTTTTCTCATTATACCTACGTTGGTGTCCACTCATTATATAATACATTCATTTACATTTTGAAACTATGGTAATTTGCTACAAATGATATTTTCTTGCAGGATGCAGACCCACAGAGCCATGGACTGTCAACAATCAACTGTCGCTCTGAAGGACTAATGGAGAAGAAAACATTTTCTGTACCTATCAAGAAAGGCAGGAGATGTGTAGTGGTTGCAGATGGTGAGTTTGGCTTTCTATATTAGTACATGGGACATTTACATTCAGTCAGGAACTAGTTACCAGCAGTCTACAGAAAAAGGGGTGAACTTGCTGTCAAACCAAATGGAGATGGATAGTTATAGTTATTTGTGGAAACGGCATCTTTCCTTGGTGGAATATTGTACTAACAGGAATGAAGAAATTTCCACTCCTTTCTGTTTCTTTTGATTGACAAGGATTGACTCTAATTGTTGTAGGCTTCTATGAATGGGAGAAGAAGAAAACAGGAAAGCAGCCCTACCTCTTTTATTTCCCCCAACGAAGAGGGCTATCAGTGGGAGATGAGTCAACATGGAAGAAGGGATACAACCAGGAATTATGGAGTCCAAAAGATGGCTGGAAAGGACCACGGGTTCTCACCATTGCAGGACTCTTTGATGTCTGGAAATCTCCTGAGGTGAATTGTCACTTTTGACTATTTTATGGCACTTGTGTATGCCTGTGCATATTGCATTTAAAGATTTCCTTAAGTTTACTTCAAGTATCAATACTCAGGCATACTTATTTGTTGAAATTTCCTGCATTCTTATCAAATAAGAATAAATTCATTCTTGTTACAGACAGAGAAATTGATGTACAGCTATTGTGTCATTACTGTTCCTTCATCGCCCAAGATCTCCTGGGTTCATCATAGGATGCCAGCCATTTTGGATGGTCCTGAAGAGGTTCAAGTGAGTAAATCCACAATGCTAACTATTCAAGAGTGCCATGCATATACAGGGTGGCTCAAAAAAAAGGCAATATTTTCAACAGGCATTTTTGTTGTGATATTTTCAAGGATATTTTTTTCTGGTTACATGTAATGCAAAGAAGAAAGATTCAGCTACAAAATGCTTTTTTCAGACTTGAAATATCTTAAAGGATGACCTAGAAAAAAATTTATTGAATTTTGGTTACGAAAAATCAGCATTTCACTCACCAACTCGATCCAGCATCCAGTTGACATCCCTGCACTCAAGAGAAGAGGAAGGGAAATGCTGACCTTAGCAGAAATTGCAAGGCTGATTGCAAGGCTGCCTGCTGCCGTATGTGGTCAATGAGCATAATGCCAATTTTTTGTAACCGATATTCAAAAGTTTTTTTCTAGGTCATCCTTTAAGATATTTCAAGTCTGAAAAAAGTATTTTGTAGCTAAATCTTCCTTCTTTCCATTACATGTAAACAGAAAAAATATCCTTGAAAGCATTGCACCAAAAATGTGCATTGAAAAGAGTGCTATTTTTTTTGGACCACCCTGTATATATATATATATATATATATATTGCTTCATTCAACTTTTTTTGGAAGGCATGGCTCAACTATGAAGATGTGGATGCTTCAAATGCTCTGAAGTTAGTGAAGCCAATATCAAATTTGGAATGGCATGCTGTGTCTCCTGCAGTTGGAAATGTGAAGAATGATTCTGTGGAGCTGGTGAAACACTACTCATCCACTAGGTCAGTTGTCAATTTTCAAAACAATTCATGAACAGATGATACAGATTTCACTCACATCTCTCATGCCTCATGCTGAAGTTTCGTTATGCACTTTTTATCCAGTGGAAAGAAGCTGGTTGGAAGTCAGAAGCTCATGTCTGCTTGGCTGCAGAAGGAGTCCCCCAAGAAATCACCAAAGAAGGAGGAACCTGAACACAATGCAATGAAGCAAGAACTCCCTGATGAATGGGATGCTGATGGCAATTTTCAGGAACCGCCCTGTCAAGGGTCTGACCATGAGGATGAGGAGCCTCCTCTCAAGAAACCCAAAGCTGAGTGAAGCTGATGCATTTTTGCTGGCAAGATTTCTCACGTACAAATTATGTACAAAAGAAGAGAGCCTTGGGCAATTGATTACCTTCTATTGAAACCATGGGTTTTCCTCTTCAACTCAGTGCTAAATGATTTCCTTTTAATGTTCTTAGTTTTCATGCATTTTGCTGGCAATGGGATAAAGGGCAGGATGAATTTTCTGCTTCTTTCCATATCATACAAAGTGCACATCACTTTACTCTGGACTAAAATTTTTAAATTGTAATGCTAGGATTCCATCCACTCAAACTTCATTCAAAACACTTTCTGATTCAGCAAAAATGGTCTTTGCTTAAAGAATGGCTTTGTGTGTGATTGCTTTAATTTATTGCTGAATGAGGAGAATGGAAGTAAATTGATGGATAAATTGAAGTGTAAACTTTCAAAAAGTAATTTATATAAATTTGGTCCACTGAAACTGACTCCCAGTTCTGCTCCTGACCTATAACTTCCAGTTGGAGTGCAAGGCAAATCCTGTCAGTGAATTGGAATGGAAAACCTATAGGCTTATTACAAGAGTGCCATAAATGTTTTATGATCTTCATAGAAATTTCAGAAAGAAATCACTATTGGTTTGTGTTTTTAAAATGTAAATTGGATTATACAAATCAAAGGTTTTTTTCTGAGGTTGAAGGACAGACCAAAGTGAATTTTTTATATTCAAAGAGCAATAATTTATAAATGATGTGCTTCCAAAGTGTGAATTCTGATGCTCTGGGAAAACTTTTTTTTTAAAGGTAAATGTGAGTTGATTTATTTGAAAACTGCATTTTTCTGTCCTCGGTAGCAATTAGAAACATGGAACTAGGTGGCACTTTGCTGATAGCTTCCCTATTGACAACTAAGATCTGTCCTCAAGAGGAGTAATTGAGATGTCATTCAGGAGTTGCACTTCTCGAGCTATTGCTCTACTGAATGAAACAGAATCTTATTATGAGAGTGTAGTCCTTTGGTCCTTAGATTTTCTCCAATGGCTCCCAAACTGTGGCTTTTATGTTTTGATGTGAGAAGGATATCCTCCATATAAAAATGCCAAAAGAACAGATCATAATTTCATGGCTTCATTAGCCCTGACATTTCTGAAGTGTTTTACAAGGAGTAATTTGTTTAGTTTCACTTGTTAATGGTGAATTTCCCCCCTTTCCATTGGTGATTTTCTCATTGAAATACATTCCTGAAGTTCAGAAGAAGTATTTTCATAAGTTTCACTTTTACTCATAATGTATGAATTATTAAATTTATGGTCAAGAATTGTACTTTTCCTAGTATGACTCATAGCAGGATGCATTTACTGATTGGAGATGTCTGAGATTCAGTGAATCTGGAGGCCTCTCTCCCAAAAATGGATTTAGATTCAATACCAAGATAGGTTTAAGAATTGTACCTAGGAGAATTGGAATTAGGAGCAAGACTTGACATATGATATGGTGCTTGACTTTCACATATACTGTCATTCCATATCTCAGGTTACAAGAGTTCTGGGAAGTTGTTTTAATAATGCACTCAGAATGCTGAGCCAAAAAAAAAAACAAACCAGTGAAAAATTAACACTTGGTAAATCATTGCACTTTTCAATAATAAAAAAAAAGGAAGAAGAGTATGGACCTTGTTGTCCAAGTTGTCCGGATAATTTTTTCAAAATGTTCCGCAAATTTGATGTTTTATTCATAGTTACATATGCATACAAAAAATACTTTTTTACCTGTCAAATTCCTTTTAAGAAAACGAGCCAGGGGGGGGGACATTGTTTTTGTTCTTATCATCTTATCACCTTGCCTGGATTGGGTAAGAGTGAAAATTGCCTTCATGAGTACTGTGTGATATCCCTTGGAAGACGGGATTCAAGCAACTTCCCTTATGTCGATTTCAGGCTTGAGGTCCTAATTCTCATTGCCTTGGGCGAACTCCTTTCAGTCCATCGTTCATGAGAAATTGCTCAATTATAGTCGAGTCAGTTTCATTGTTCGATGATGTTCTAGATTCCTGAAGTGATGAAGTTCGATAAAGATAAAGAAACTTAAGGAGAAAGAAAGAGTTGATGGTGTGTGCCCCGGCAGCACAATACATTGAGCCCACATTGGCTGCGAGTGGGGAAAGCGACCTAACATCTTAGTGGGCTGCCCGTGTTGGCACCACATTGCCGCTAGGGCGGCAGCCAACATTTGTCATGACTCAGCCACATCTCTGACGCAGCCACATCTCTGACATTTGAACAAAAAGCTCCCCACAGAATAAACAAGAATGCAGGTATGAAGCCACTATTACAACAAAAAGCTTCCCTCAGTTGATGCGAGCTGGCGACTCGTTCAATGGGATCAGAGAGTGATTCATTAATTTAAGACCGCAGTTCCTCTCTTGGTCCTCTTGATCCATTTCTATGAAGAACGTGAAGGAAGACATTCAAATTTCTCAGTTAATTTGCTTTAAAAGGTTAAGCACTCCAAACAGACTCTTGTAACTCGTGGAGTAACATGATTAGAATTGCGGCTTCACTCGAAATAAAGGAGATAAAACAATATATTTCTATTTGAATGTAGAGACTGCGTCTGGTTCCCCTCGGGGAGATTCGGGTGTGATTAAAGAAATAATCCGAGACTTGCCGCAAAAACACTTCCATCCACTTAGTGGATGAATGACCTAATGGGGCCTATCCTGTTATGGAAAGCGAAGGCCTCGAAAGATGAAATTGGGAGGGAGTATTAAACCCCTGGGTACTTCCAGCCATACAGAGAGAGACACGGTAGCAAAGTCACCAGAAGGAGTGCAGAACAAAAACGTAGGGAAATACAATCTCAATCGAAAACTCGTTTAACACCCCTGAATGTCCTGGCGCACGTCGGCATTTGACGTTGGTCTAACGTGGGGTCGTGGGGCAAGCCTACAAGGGACCAACGTGGGGAACCAACGTTGGGCTCACATCGGATTAGTCGAATTCCAACATGGTACGTCGTAGGCTTGTCCCACGGCCCCACCTTGGGCGAACGTCAAATGCCGACATGCGACATGACATACAGGCCAATGCTGTGTAATAGGGAAATTAATTCCTGGCAGATCGCTGTGAAATTGTGACTATTCTCCGTAGATTCTCTATTCTTTGTATTTAGTCGTACTTCGCCGATTTCAGGCAATTGCGTCGGTTTTCTTAGAAAATGAATATTTCGATGGGCTGAAATGAGAAAGATGGTTTCTGCCAGATCGCAGTGAATGTGTGTTATTTTCCCATTAAAGCATTTATTCAGTCCTACTTCACTATCAGGTGATTTCGTCAAGATTCTTAGAGTAATGGGAAAGATGCTTCCGACCTTATCATAGCGAAATTGTAATATTTCTCTATAGATGGACACTGTTAGGCGTATTCTAAAGAACTCATGTGTTTTCATAGCGTTCTTTCTATTCTCAGTTTTTCAATGGAGTGTAATGGGAAAGTTCCTTTCGGGCAGATCGCAGTGAAATTGTGACTTTCCCTTGGTTAGAACACTGACATTCGTGTCATAGCGATTTCACGTGTTTTCTTAGCATTCCTTCTTTTTCCCAGTTTTTCAATGGGGTGTAATGGGAAAGATGGTTGCTGGCAAATGAAAGTGAAATTGTGATATTTATTACACTTACAGTCGTGTAATAGTGATTTCACGGGATTTCTGAGCGTTCTTTCTATTCTCAGCCTTTCAATGAAGTGTAATGGGAAAACTTTTTTCGGCAAGATCGTATTGAAATTGTGATATTTCTCCATAGATCAGTGGTTCCCAACCTTTTCTTGCCGCGACCCTAAATTGGGCATCGATGGGACCTCGCGACCCTCAGGCTTATGATAAAATTCAAATATGTATATCAATAGAAATACATATATGTATATGTAATTATATTGATTTTATTATTTATTTACGAGTATATTCGTGTATTAATTATTTAAAACTAAATAAATTTATTGGGAATTCAGGTACAAATCAAGTTTATTGAATGTCTTGATGCATACAAATGCACATTAAACATCATCAGTAGTTCAATCATATACAAAAATTAATTTGAAAACAGGCAAAAATGCTAATTGAAACGAAAAAATGCTTAAAATATTTCTCAGAAATCCCCATTTAACACAGACACCCATATCAACAAATAATTTTGATGAAAATGAGACACTTCATGTGAAGACGTTAGAAATCCTTCGGAATTCAGTGGCTACCCTGATGCTGCATTTTCTCGGTCAGTTTAGTTATCCTCGGCTGAATATTGATAGAGAGGGCACAGCGAAGGTCATGCTGCGGGTNAGCGAATGAACAACTTGTTCGAGAATATCTTGTGACATGAGGTCAATTCGTCGTTTAATGCTGTTGTCAGAAAGAGGGACCAATTCAAGTTTCTTGGCAATCTCATCTCCACAGACAGTCCTGACCATAGCAAGGGCCGCTGGCTTAAGTTCTTCTCCGATATTGTGAGGCTTCTTGCAACGTGCAATTTTCCAGGCCATCTCAAATGATGTCTTCGTAACTTTTTCCAAAGAAAAAGTCCCTGAATTTGACGGAGCACCAAGTCTCATACGTTTCACGTTCGCCTCTTTCTCCTTCCAGAAACTCAGTGGTTTATCAACGAAATTCGGATGGACAGTGGTGAGATGCCGCTTCAGCTTGCTTTCCTTCAAAGATTCATTTGCCAATACTTGCATGCATTGCAGACACTGTGGGCGAAATAAGCCGTTCTGGCTTAGTTCGCCCACAGATCCCTCAACTCAGTGAAGCCCAGCTTCAAAAAATCGGAGTTGTACGGTAAACTTCGTTTTGCCATTTTGTAAAATCAGAGGTAAGGGCTTCAATTTGAAACGAGACAAAAATGCACGTAATGCACTTTTGTCTTTTGTACTCGTAAGCTACGGTAAGGAGAGAAAAAAAAACTGTTGGTCGGCGGGGTCGCCTCAGCCTTTCGGGCACTTTTTAGCATTAAAAAACAAAACAAAAAATTTTTTCTTCCTATGCC